GCTTTGCCGCTGAGCTAAATCCCCAGCCCCTGTCCCTGGTGCTTTTAGGGGGCCACACACTGGACTTTGTAGTGACCAGACTCGCCTGCCAGCGGAGCCTAGGTCCACTCCCTGGTCCGTCCTCAAGTGACACACACACACGGTCCCCAGCTGGGATGGAATGAAGAGGGGACCATACCACTTCCACCCTGCCCCAGATGAGCATGTTGTCACTGTCAGGGACAACGTGAGACAGATAAGGAGGTCCCCGAGCCCGCCAGGAGGACAATGGACTTGTGTAGAGAGAAATCAAAGACAGTTGTGATTCTGTCCACCCGAACAGGGTCCCTCCTGGTTGGCTCCTGGGCTGGCACAGCAGAAGCCCCAGTTCAGAGCACCTGTGATTGGGGACAGGATGTGGCTGGCCTCACAGCTGGGGCTGCCAGAGTGGGGGACCTAGTAGATGCTCGGTCTGTACAGGGTTCATCCTGGACCAGGCTGGACAGAATTTTTTATCTTGAGAGATAGTTTCACTAAGTTGCTAAGTCACCCAGGCCGGGCTAGAACTTGCTATCCTCCTGCCTCAGCCTCGTTGAGTGCTGGGATTACAAGTATGTGCCACCACGCCCAACCAGTTGTGTGAATTTTTTTTTTCTTTTTTTAATTTTAAAGAGTAAAAGAAGGACAACATAGCAATAGGGGGATTCACCAAATTACAGACAAAATGCTAAGACATTATCAATGGTTGTTATTTTACCTATTGGTATCTTCAAGATAGTTTCTCAGGAAAACAAATAGACAAATAATAGTGAGTTACAGACAAAAACGGCAGGAAATTATCAATGGTTGTTGTACTATACCCTGGTTTCTCCAAAGTGGTCTCTAGGGAAAACAAACAGAGCTATACATGAGTGATCAATCAGATAATCATTGACTATTCCCAATGGTTGTTATTGAAAACACATAGTAACGAACATGCATCCATTTACGAAATAGCATAGGAACAATGCAAACATTACAGAGTTATGGACAGATTGGTAGGAAATCGTCAATGGCTGCTGCAATACATGTTGGCATCCTCGAAGTGGTTTCTCAGGAAAACAAAGATATGCAAGAAAAATCCAACAAGTACTTACAGCCCAAGGGCTGGGAAAAATACCTCCTCATCAGTGACTCCCCTCACTGAGGTGTGATGGCTGGAAGGCAGGCCAGGACTGAAAAGAAGGACCGAGAGACCAGCACCAGTGTCCAGCAACGGGCCATCCACTTTTTCCTCTATACTTGTGAAGGGCTCCTCCTTCTCCATGAAGGCAGTTCTACAGAATCTGAATATTGGGCACCCATGTAATCCATGAAGTCTCGGTGCAGACCTCTCCGGAGCTCCACTTGCTCCTCCACCGCAGCCTGTACAGTTAGGGGAAGAATGGCCTTCAGGGGGTTTCCCCGGGTGTTGCGCAAGGTCCTTCTGGTTACTGGCTCCCGAACAGCTCTGGCATCCCAAGTAAGCTCGACCTCTGAGTCGTTGGGTGTCAGTACTCTCGTGTTCTCTGAGTCCTTGTTCATCAGCTGCTCCTCCGCTGACTCTGGACCTTTCTGGCTCTCAAGGGCAAGGCCAAGAGCGACCCGCCGTGTGGCACGTTTTCCCAGAGGTTTCTCCATGTCGGGATGGTTCACGCATGTCTCCAGGCTGGCCTATTGTGTCGGTGCTTCTCTGTGACATGGCGGTTGTCGACTGCGTGGCGCCAGCCAGCCTGAGGGCCGGTGCGCGTCTCCGTGCCGCTTCCAGGGTGCCTGCTGCCTGCCTTTCCGGGTGCATCCCTGTGTCCCCTGGGGTGGGGCTGTGCTGGGCCCACGAGGGCCGGTGCGCCCCGTCCGCATGTCCGCCAGGGCGGGGCGCCTGCGGTTCTGTGAATTTTAACACATGGGTAAATCCTTGTTACCGCCACACTGAGCACACAGCACAGCTCTGGCACCCAATCCTTCCCCAAGCTGGGCTGCCCTCCCTACTCCCCAAACGCCAGCCTGTCTGTGCCCCAGCTCCATTTCTCAGTGTCCCATGAACACAGTTGCAGGGCACAGAAACTTCTGGCTTCGTCCCTCAGGAGGAGGCCTGTGAGATGAATCATGCTGCAGAGCCCTGCCTACAGGCGGCTCAACCCTGTCGCGTGGGCCAGTGGGGACGAGGTGGGACATCCAGCCTCCACATCCTCCACAGGCACCTTCAGCACCACAGAGACATCATTCTTATGGCACATTCCGGCCCAGGCTGCCCCACCTGGAATGTCCGGACGACCTCCCAGGGAAGGGGCCCCTGACCTGTCTGATCTCCCGGGGTGGGGGTGCATTGGCCAGAGGAGCAGTAGGGAGGGACAGGGCGGAAGGGGGGCCCTGGGCTAGAACAGTGTCAGCCCCGGGCCCTCGGAACAAGAACCTTACATCAGGGGGCGTGTTCCAGAGGCCACTGCACCACAGGGACCCACAGACCTGCACACCTACTCAGAGACATGCATGCACCCACAGAAGTGCACAATGCATACACCGAGGTACACACATGCACCAAGACACACACACATAAACACACAGCTGTGAACACACGTGCACAGAGATATGCACACACATGAAGACATACACACGATATACATACATGTGTGCACAGACAAGCACACACGCAGGCACAAGACCTGTGTACATACACACATACACAAACATGCCACATGCCCAGACATGTGCATGCACATACAATCACACTGACACACACACAGATGCAGAAACACATACAAAGACACATGCATGCCAAATTTACACATATGCAGATACATAGGCATGCCCATACTCAGGCATGTACACAAATGTACACACAGACACACATGTGCACACAGATACACTAGCAGAGACACACACATACACCATAGAGATATACAGAGACACACATGTGCACACACACGTGCACATAGGCACATGCACAGAGATGCACACCTAGGAGCAAGGTGCTGCTTGCACTGTGGTTCAAGGGCCGGGGGCTGAGGGCAGGAGTGGGGTGGACAGAGCAGTCATGGTCCATCCCGTTGGGCCTCCTTGTCCCTCCTGCAGTTGAAAGTGGGGCAGCCCTGGGAGCGCATGGATTTTGGGATGCTCTAGGGCCCAAGCAGGCTGATGGGGCCCATCAGTGGGCAAGGTGCAGAGCACCAGCGTGGTCTCCAGTGTGCTCACAGGGACATGGGTGTGAGGACAGGTACGGGGCCATGCACTGGCAGAAGGACAGGGCTCAGCAGAGGGCCAGGGCTGGGGCACAGCGGGCACTGGGGAGGGGTCTGAGAGGGGCAGAAGCTGAGAGTGGAGCTGGATTGGGAGGATGGGAAGCGTGGAAGTGTGGTGCCCTCTCCGGGCAGAGTGGCCCAGGTGTGAAAGAAGTGTCAGGACCATGGCCGGCGTGGGTGTGGGTTGGGTGTGCCTCCTGGCTCCACTCCCAGGCAGCACCGCCCACTCCGATAACATCCTCTCCAGACAAGACTGCCTCAGAGTAGAGCCAAGGCCGTCAGCATGGCTAATTACACAAATTAGCTCCCTCATTCACCTCTATCCAAGCAAAACGATGCCGCCGCCAGTGCAGACTGGGGAACCCATGGGGGGGGCTGCGCCAGTGCCACCAGGGCTCATAAACAGCAGCCGGGCAGCGAGGCAGGGGCTCAGAGCATGCAGCTGCTCCTGCTGGCCGCGGGGCTCAGCCTGCTGTCCATGGCGCCGGCTGAGGAGGGCGACATGGTGATGCCCGCGTCCAGAAGCACAGTGAGTGCGGGGGAGCTGGGTGCGGGGGAGCTGCGTGGGATTTGCATCTGGGCCAGGCTCCGGCCACCATCCGTGAACATCACCCTGTCCCCTTGCTTGTGTCCTGGGTAACATCCCATGCAGAGGAGGGGTGCCAGGTGTGCCAGGCAGTCACCCCAGGGGGAGCACGGCATCTTCCTGCCCAGTGGGGCCTTGGTGAGATGTGTGACAGGACCCCTTTGGCATCGCTCCCTCCCGTGATGGCATCTGGACAAGCACTTGTGTCCCTCAGAGGTCAGTGTCATCATTTGGAAGGACCCTGCCTATTTTAAGCCTCTCTGTAAACGTGACACACGTCACCTCTATTATGTGTTTACAACAGGGCCACCATTAAATATGTTATAAACTTCATAGCTCCACCACACTGTTGGAACAAAAACAGCTGCAGATGTCAGATGCCACGCAGCCTGTCCCTTGCTCCCCAAGGCCCATCGCAGCTCCCTTCCGGGGGCTCTGTGCCTCTTGCTGGATGGGGTGAATCTGGTCAGAGGTCCAGGACTCAGGTGGTGCACCAGGCACTGCTGGGGCCTGGGTTCCCCTCCACCCCTTTCCCTCATGGGAGCCAGGCAGCTGTCAGCCATGCTGGTTGCACTCACGTCCACACCCATCCATCTAGTTATCCTTGGAGGCACCGTGGCAAGGGCGTCCTGGCTTTAGGATGCACCTGGTTTTTGAAGTCGGTAAGACTGTTTGGGAAAGGAAGGGTAGCGAAGAGTCCATACCGTACTTTTAATATGTAACACGTCCTGAGTTAAAGGCTGGGGGCACTGGCCCTTTTTTCCCATGGAGATCTCTAGGTCCTTGTCTCAGATAGATGGATAGATAAGTGGGCTATCTAGATGGTGGATGGATAGATGAATAGATGGCTGCTTGGCTGGATGATGGATGGGTGGATGGATAAATGGCTGGATGGTGGATGGCTAGATGGGTGGATGGTGGATGCATGGATGGATGGATGATGGATGGGTGGATGGATGGTGGATGGATAGAGGGATGGTGGACAGACGGAGGGGTGGATGGTGGATGGATGGGTGGCTGGATCGTGGGTGGATGGGTGGATGGATGGTGGACAGATGGAGGGGTGGATGGTGGACGGATGAATGGGTGATGGATGGACAGATGAATGGCTGGAGGGTGGGTGGATGTATTGGTGGATGCATGGATGGATGGATGATGGATGGTGAATGGATGGGTGGACAGGCGCCTGTTAGGCCAGGATTGTGAACACACACGTGGGGATCTGTAAGGTGACAGAGTCAAGTCCATGTGACCATCACGTGCGCTCTTTGCATGCTGCTCCCTGGTCTGCTTTAGCTCTGTCCCTCCCTGCTTCTGGCTAAGCGCACATCTGGACCTGACCCGAGCATGGAGCCTCCTGCAGTCCTCTTCCGGTGACACAGTATCCACCCCTTCAGGGTGACGGGGCCATCGCAGCTCCTGAGGAAACTTCATGGAGATGTTCCCACGGTGCTAGCTTCCTCTGCTGATGACACGGGGAGGTGATCACCGTGGACGCATCTTGCTGCTTCCTTCTTTGCCTGAAAACAAAACAACAAAACTTCCTTTCCAGACCCGTCTCTCCAGGGCTTCTCTCTCCCATCTGACTTCTTCCCAATTCTCTCCAAACTCCCCAGCGCATGTTGTAGGTGCCACGGTCGTCTTCCCAGGGACTGGCCACCTTCCACACGCCTCCACCAGCCACTTCTCCCTCCCTCCTGCCTCCTTCTTTCTTTCCTTGTCCTCCCTGCAGCTCTACTCTCAGGCATCACTTCTCCAGCTTTTAGGAACATGGTACATACTTCGCTGGGCTGGAACCATCCCCATCCCCAGGGAGAAGCGGCGGGAACCCCTGCCCCCCTTTAGCTTTGTGGTAAATTACATCGGGAAACTGGAGTTCCGGATGCACATCCGGTGAGTGCCACCCCCCTCCCCACGGCACACTCTGAGCCGAGCTGGCCCTGCAGGCAGGCTTCCGGGACCCTGTGTGGCCTAGGGTTGGCCTGCAGCTCTGGGGCTGGTTCTGTGTCCCCAGCACCTGACCAGTGAGCACGTGCTTAGGCAGCCGAGGGAGGAGGGTGTGCCGGGCCACCATTCACAGGTCCCGGTGACCCTGCAGGTATGGGGTGGGTGTCGGAGCTGTGTGCTGGATGACGGCAGTGGGTGTGGGCAGATACGGAAGCTCACGCAGAGTATTCAGGGTGTCCGGTAAGCTAGAAGCAGCTGGGGCAGAGGCCCCTCAGGGTTGGGCAAGACAGAACTGGGGAGGGCTTCGGGGGGGCACCCTGGGGACACTTCTGTGACCAGAACTGCTCTGAGGCTGCTTCTGTCTTCCAGGAAGCCAAGCGGATGCCACCTGTTTAAACTGCCTTTTAATGAGGGGCTCGATCCTGGGAGCTTCATCACCTGTGAGTGGCTAGGGCGGTGCAGCCTCTCGGCCCGGAACCCCAGGCCTCCAGGAGCCCAAGGTGCAGCCATGCAGATCGTGCCTCTGGCTGACTCGGCCCCGCTGTGCCTTGATGCTCGGGTCCCAACCCCAGGGAGGTGTTTGTGGGTGACTTTCGGGGTTAAGTTCCCCAGGTGTGGGGCTGGTCTCAAATGCGGGTCGCATGTGCCGTGGAGTCTCCCATCCAAGAACCAGCTTCCCAGCCCCCCAGGCCTGGTCCCTCCTGGCCTCTGCTCACCTGCTTCCGGGATGGGACGCCGCCTTGTGTGCTGCGGACCCGGCGGTCTGGCTCCTCCCCAACCCCGTCCTTCCAGGGTGGAAACACCTGATCCACATCTGGCTGCTCACACCCAGGACGTACGGTGTCGCCTTCTTCGACGACAAGATCAACAACCAGATGATGAGCCTGGTGATGCTCTTCGGTGAGCGTGCGCGCCTGCGGGCGTGGGGGTGCCGTGCGCATGTGCGCAGGCGCGCACCTGACCTGCGCTTTCCCCACTCACAGTGCGGTCCACCTGGACCCCGGTGGTCACCCCGTCCTCCTCCTCCACCCTGCTCACCTCGCCCTGCTGCCCAACATATCTGAAGCGTCCCCCTCTGCCAGTGCCCACCTCCTGCCTCTGCGGCCGCCCCCCTGCGTCCCAGTTTTCCTGCGCCCTGGGTCACCGCTGCCTTGACCTGCGCTGGGCTCCCAGGCTGGCCCCATGCTGCTCCGTCTGCGGACCTCACCTGGGAGGGTGGGGCCCCTGATGTGCGCCTGCTGGGTGCCCCTCCCGTCACGGCCAAGTCGGGACCCCTTCCACCTGGAGTTCCTGGGAGGGCTGTGGGCGTCCAGCCCCACGTGGCGGGGCGGTGAAAGAGGCCCCTCGCCCGCTGCCTGCAGGCCGCACCCTGGACGACGACCCGCAGGCGCTGGAGCTGTTCACTGAGCTTCTGGAGGCGAAGGGGCTGAACGCCAGCGAGGCCGTGGTCCCGCCCCACCTGTGTGAGCCCGAGGCCGGGCCTGACCCCTCCCTCCTGGCTTCCCTTCACCAGCGGCGCGCCTTCCTCCTGCTGTGAGGTGACTCCCACGTCTCCCTGTCCTGCTTTTCTGGGTCTGCAGACGCCTGTGAGGTGACCGGAGTGCCCTAGATCCGGAGGGGATGCTGCAGCCACACCACTCGGGGACCAGGAGCAGCGGGACTTGGCCCAGGCCTCTCTGAAATCCCTGCTGAAGATTTAGCAAATAAAAGCAATTTGTGGCAGCCTGGCTTCCTCCTATGGCCAAGCCCCCTGCCCGGCCTCCCTCCCTCCAGGGCCCCCAGCACCCAAAGAGAGTGTCTGAGAGAATGGGGTGTCTTCCTTCCTAGCATGCAACTAAACACACTGCGTGTGGAGACCGCAGGTCTTTATCACTGACGCGCTGCTAGAGCAGGTCCTAGTCACAGCATCTGTCCGCACACGGGGCAGGGCGCGCCTGAGGGAGCCAGGAGCCCCGAACCTGCCAGTCCCCACCTTCCTACTCTCCGGCCGGTGTGGCCCCAAACACTGTCCACCTGCCCCTGCTTGCCCGGAGCTGTGAGGTGAGAGCCGCCTGGAGATCTGAAGGTCTCCGTGTGACACCCCCCCTTTCCTTCCTGAGCACCCCTTATCTGGGTTGCTTCAGTGGCTTCACAGGGATTTTCCAGCGATGGTGTTAGGGCGTACTCCTGGGTGTCCCCCACTGCCTCATGGGCTCAGGAAGGTGACTGGATCCTGGGTGTTGGGAGGTGGGGCCTGACAGGAGGAGGTGCTCCCTGGGGCGTGGCCTGGGAGGGTTTACCTTCCTCCCTGCTCCTCCCTCTCTGGTTTCCCGGCACCGGGAGTGTTGCAGCCCTCCTCCACTGTGTCCTCCCCCATGCCCTGCTGCCTTGGAGCTGCTGAAAGCACAGCCCTGATGCACCCCTCCTCCTCCATTCCTCCATGTTGTGGGTGCTCAGCGCTGGGTGCTTGATAAAGAAAAGGGCTCTTCACCTCAGAGCCTGCAGTTCAAGGGCGTGGACCAGCATGGTGCGGGAGCAGGGGCCGGAGGTGACAGCACACAGCCGGGCAGGAAGCTCAAGGGTCGCCGTGGTGAGGCTCACCCATAATCACAACCACTTTGTGGGCGTATTAGGTAGGGCCCTCCAGAGTTCACTGCTGATGTGAAAGAAGGATTTGCAGGAAGTTTCGGGAAGAGAACAGAGGTGCCCGAGTGCTCCCCCCGAGTCTCATGCTCCCACAGGGGTGTGTCCTGCAACTGCAGCATAGTGCCCGAAGCAGGAGGCTGAGTGTGCCACTGGGTGCTGACACCAGGCTGCTTCAGCTGCATCTCCTTGGTTTCCTTTTTCTAGGTTTATTCGCTGTGCAGGTTTCCTCTTTAGAGAAAAAAATCTTCCTTTGTGTCTTTTCCCAGTGTCTAGCTGGATTTTCTTTTGGCTGTTGAGTTTGAAAATTGTTTATGTAATTGAGGTACTAATGCTTTGTCAGAAACTAACTTGAAATATTTCCTCCCAGGCCATAGCTTTTCTGTCCATCTCCTGGGCAGGTCTTCACACAGCAAAAGGTTTCACGGCGATGCGGTCTGTTATTAATGATTTTGTCTCATGGACTTTGCTTTCCATGTCCAGTCTGAGAAATTTTCACCTGGCCGTAGGTCCCAGAGATTCCGCTCAGTGTTTTTCTGAAAGTTGTGTAGTTTTCTGCATTGCATTAAATGGAGGATCCATAGGGCCTTGATTTTTGTTGCACCCTTTCGATGGGGCATCTGTCAGAGTGGCCACCCCTCCCCGACAACATTGCCTTTGAAGCTTTGTCAGAGGTCAGCTGTTGCATTTGTGTGAGTTTGTGTTTCCCCGGCCCACCGGTACTGGGGATCAAACCCAGGTCCTCACAGGCTAGAACAATCCCCTTCGAACACCTCCCTCCCCTGCATCTGTGACTTCTTGTTCTGGCACAGATAAGATCTGCAACTGTGTCCTGTGGACAGAGTTTATGCCATCTTGTTCTCGCTGGATTCATCGGCTCTGTGTTCTTTGAAGGCTAAGTTATCAGTTGCTTTGTCTTGCTTCTGTGCCCTCGCTTGGCCACTCCCAGTTGCTAAGGACCAAGCCCCTCAGCCAGATGTGTACAGCTGGAGCCTTCCCTTCGTTCTGAAGCCCAGCTCTTTGGATGCAGGTTCGGCTGGGTCGATGTGCATCTAAAATCCTGGATGTAAATCCTCCTGCTTCCCGCACTGTTCTCCCTGATCTCTGCCACATTACCATTGAGCTACATCCTTAGCCTTTTTTATTTTTGAGACAGCGTCTTACTAAATCACCCAAGCTGGCAGCTTGCAGCCCTTCTGAGCCTCACGAGAAGTCGGGATCTCGGAGAGTACCACCTCGCTCTCTTTTCCTTTCCGCTGATCTTTGTGTCCCTCCTCCTGCCAATACGTCACCATCTTGGTTGCTGCGGGTGATAATAAATCTTTAGCTTGGTAGATTAATTCTTCTTACTTTATTATTTTGCAAAATTTAGTCATTCTATTTCCTTGGCTTTGACATATAAACTTTGGAAATAAGTTTGTTTCTATCTTGCTGGGAGTTGGATGGAGTTCTAGAGATTCTGAAAAAGAACCAAAACAGAACTCCAGGAAACGAAAAGTTCAGTAAGTCAAGTGGAAAACTCAGGTGAAAGCTTCACCAATATGTTTGGTCAGAAAGAAGAAGGAAGGGCAGAGCTTGGAGACAAGGCCGACGGATGGTCACCGTCCGACAATGATAAAACATAAGAAAGAATGAACAGAGCATACAAAATCTGTGGGGCACTATAGAAGGACCAATCTTAAATATAATCAGAATAGACAAGGGAGAAGAAATGCAGGCTGAAGACACAGAAAGCCTATTCAGTGAAATAGTAGCAGAAAATTTCCTAAGTCTTGGAAAAGATACAAGCAACGGAAGCATCTAGAAGCCTAAATAGGGATGACAAGAAAAGAACCTTTTAACCTATGCATCACAGTCAAACTGCCAAAAGTACAGAACCAAGAACGAAGGGTAAAACCTGCAGAGAGAAGCACCACGTCACACGTAAGGGCAAAATCGTCCGAATAAAAGCAGATTTCTTAGCAGAAATTCAAAAGGCCAGGAGGGCATGGAACAAATGATGTATTGCAAGCCCTGAAAAGATTAACTGCAGCCTTAGATTACAATATCCAACAAAGTTATCCTTCAGAATCGAGGGTGAAGTAAAGAACTTTCAAGGTAAGCATATGCTAAAGGAATCTGTGATCACTAAATCAGTATCACAGAAGAAACGTAAAATAATCCTACACCAGAAGGCAAAGCAAAACAAAATCATGAGAGCGCAGGAAAACATCAGTTTCACTCGAAGATAAGCAGATGAGAATGAGGAAATAATCAAATGGTATTAATTCAATAAACCATCAACTGGCTAAGATGAATAAGGGAGAAAAACATGGAAATAGATTATGCAAAGCAACCAGATGAAAGACAACAGGCTGACAGGTACTAGTACACACCCTTCAGCAATAACCCTGAGTGTAAACGATTTCAGTTCTGTAATTAAAATTCACAGACTAACTGATCAGATGGAAAATCAAGGACTAACAATTGCTGCCTGCAAGCAACTCACAAGCAAAGGTGTACACAGACTGAAAGTGAAAGCATTTAAAATCGTATTCCAAGCAAATGGAATCTAAAAGCAAACAGGAATAGCTATATTCACGTTCCACAAAACAGACTCCAAGGCAAGACTGGTCAAAAGTGATAAGCTCACTACATACTGATAAAGACAGCAGCCCATCAAAAGATAAAATTGTAAGAAGATATGCACCAAATATTAGCACCCTCAATTTTATTTAAAGAAATGCTACTTGACATAAAATGATAGTCAAGAATAGTGGGTAACTTCAATACCCTACTCTCGTGAATAGATAGGTCATCCAGACCCCCCCAAAAATTAATGGAGGAGCATGAGTTAAATTACATAAGATATTAAATGGACTTAACGACCTACAGAGTATGCCATCCAGTAGTAGCAGAATACTTGTTCTTTTAAGCAGCATGTGGGACTTTTCCCAAATAGACCATATAGTTGCTACAAAGTGAGTCTTAACAAATTCAAAATAATTTCTTACATCTTAGCAGGTCACTATAAATATGAACCTAGAAATCAACAGCGAGAGTACCTACGCAAATTATACAAACACATGAAGATTGAAGAATGCAATTTTAAATGAATAGTGGGTTAGTGAAGAAATAAAAGGGGTTCAAAAATTCCTAGATTCAAATCAAAATGGAAGCACAGCATATCAGAACCTGTAAACTACAGCAAAAGCAGTACTAACGGGGAAGTTTATAGGTACTAGTAGTTAAAGAGAAAAAAACATGTCACACATAGTGGTGCATGCTGGTAATCCCAACACTCAGGAGGTTGAGGCAGGAGGATTGCTGTGAGTGTGAGGCCAGCCTGAGTTACATAGTAAGATCCTCTCTCTGTCTCTCTAAAAAAAAACCCCAAAATCCCAAAATAAAAAATAAAGAAAGAAAAAGAAAAAACAAAAACAAGAACAGAGAGCTCTCTCTTTTGGTGCATCTCTAGTTCTTATTTATTTATTTATTTATTTATTTAGTCTTTTTGAGACAGGGTCTCTTATGCAGTTCAGGCTGGCCTTGAGCTCCTTTGTAGCCCAGGTTGGTCTTGAACTTGCAATGATCCTCCTGCCTCAGCCTCCCGAGAGCTAGGATTACAGGTGTGTGCCGCCATGCCCAGCGCATCTCAAGTTCTTATACAAACGAGAACAAGCTGAACCCAGGATCAATAAAAGGAAAGAAACAATAAAGATCAGGGCAGAAGCCGGGCATGGTGGCACACACGTGCAATCCCAGCTCTTGGGAGACTAAAGCAGGAGGATTACTGTGAGTTCGAGGCCAGCCTGAGTTATATAGTAAAATCTGTCTCAAAATAAACAAACAAACAAATAAAAATCAGAACAGAAATAAATGGAATTGAGACTAAACAAACAATACAAAGAATCAATGAAATAGAGAGTTATTTCTTTGAACAGACAGATCTGATAAACTAGTAGCTAGGCTAACCAAAAGAGAGAGAAGACTCAAAGAAATAAAATGAGAAATGAAAAGAGTCATTACAATAGGTACTGCCAAAATTCATAGGGTCATTGGGAATATTTTGAAAAATGATATATCAAGAAATTGGAAAATATAGAGGAAATGGACAAATTTCTGGATACATACGACCTATCTGAGTTGAACCAGGAAGTGACAAGAACTTTAGACAGGTCAGTAACAAGCATGATATTGAAGCAGAGATAGTCTCTCAGCTGAGAAAAGCCCCGGACCGGACAGACTTGCCACTGAGTTTTACTCTGCTCTTAAAGGACACCAACGCTCCTTAAACTGTTCCAAAATAGAAAGGAAGCAACCCTCTCAAATGTAGTCTGCACAGCTAGTGTGACTCTGCTGCTAAACAGGACAAGGAAAAAAAAATATATATGTATCAGTCATAGTCCATTATCCTTGATGAACATAGATGCGAGGGTCCTCAGTGCGTACTCATGGATAGAATTCCACAGCACATTGAAGAAACCACACACCTGCTTCAGCTGGCTGCCCTGCAGATTTGCAAAAATGGTTCAAGATATGCAAATCAATGCACATAAGCCTGGCTTGACGACCTAGCAGTTTAATGACTGTTCCACTGTTTGGATTTACCCCGAGACACACTGTTCGGACTTATGACCCATCGCTCAGACTTACGACCCACCCTTTGTTTGTACAGTTGTGTATACATTGCCTGTTTTTGTACAGTGCTCCTTGCTGAGACGGTGCTGTGATTTTTGCAGCTGGCACTGCACGGTACAGTGCTGTAGTTTATGCTCTGTCGTATACTGCAGCACTGCACGCAAGAGTTATGCAAACAAAAGCGCTGGAGTTTCCTTTGGCTGTTTCTTCACTCTGAACACTGTCACGTTCACACCGTACAACTCCTCATCCAGCGACAGCTCACTGAGCAGCTCGTCACACGAGGAACTGGGCTGTGACGTGAGCAGCGTCTGTGATCAGCGCAGCCAGGAGCAAAGACAGGAGTGAGGGGTACAGGCCAGCCCTGGGAGGCCGGTGCTTCTGGGCCATTCGGGGACCCTTCTCACTCCAGAAGGAGTTTCCTGATCTTTCAGGGCTTTGCTATTCACCCGACCCTAGGACTTGGCAGGTATTTTTGGGTGACCTTCTAGGGCGGGTGGGCCTTTCTCCCGCCCACTTCCCCTGTCCTTTCACGCATCACCTCCCTGGTTTGGGATGAAAAAGTCAGAGAAGCCCATAGGATGCAGCTATGCCGTGTGTCTTGGTTACTTTTCTCTCGTCGCTGAGACAAACTGAGACAAAATACCTAACGCCCAATATTAAGGAAGGAAAGTTTTATGTAGCTCACAGTTGGTGGAGGTTTCAGTCCATACTCAGCTGGCTCCAAGGCAGAGGCACATGGCAGAGGGCAAACGTTCATGGCGGCAGAAACCAGCAAAGCAACCAGCACAGAGAGGAGCAAGCCTCTTTCTCTCGCTTATATTGTGAGCAGGCTACCCCCGCCCGGGGGCATGTAGCACTCACACAATTTCCATGCCCTCTTCTTGCACAGGCTCAGGATGAATACAGGTAAGCACCCTGGCTCCCTGCTGAGTCACATAGTTCACCTTTAAACTTTTCACACTGACAGAATGAACAACATCCTAGAGCAGGAAGGGCGTGTCCTTTTCACCCCAAGATGCAGAACTGCTGAGTTGCTTAGCCAAACCTCTAGACTCCCCAAGTTGACACAATGTATGAACCATAACACCATGACTTTTCCTGGAAGAAAAAGCGGCTGCTGGGTGTCTTCTTCTGCAGTTTGCTTAATTAGAAAGAAATTATTTTGCAAGCTGAAGGCAGGTGCTTAGCCTTAAACAGGTGCTGAAGTTGTGATGTTTGTGAATTCTTTTGCTCTCTCCAAACAAGAGGCGTCCACAGGCAGCGAGTACAGACGACTGCGGGGTTTCTTGAAAAAGTCTCCCAGTTTCGCTGCTGCCGTGTGAGGTGCAGTGGTTCTAGTTGGAGTGAAAGAGACGTTCAGACACGGCGTGTATCCCGCAGTCCTGGCTCATCTGACCAGCTTCCTGCACAGGAAGAAAGGTCCACTTTTGCAACTAACCTTTGATATCATAAAGAACCAGAAAGATGAGATCCTGAGGCTTGTTTCATGAGTGAGTCAAAGTTCGCAGTTTCTGCACAGGTACGCATTTTTGGATGGAAGAGGAATTTATTTTCTCCTGGAGAAGGAAGTTGTTTTTGATCCCCCTTTCTGAAGTCTTCAGACATTTAATTGTGTTTCACTTAGAAGGGCCGGCTGTGAAGCAGCCCGCCGTGGCAGTGCGTTTGCACTTGGTTGAAGAGTGGCTAAAGAGAGCAACTCAGCTTTTAGTCCAGCGAGAGCCCCGTGCACTCCCCTGCGATGTGGAGCTGCAGATTTCCTCATCCTCTGTGCAGCGCACAGAGCAGAAAGCACCTTGTTTTCCTTGTGGCTAAGGGGGAGGAAAAGTGCTCTTCAGCTCAGAAGATGGATGGGCTCTGTCGTACAACTTGCGCTCGGACTTGACTTTGGATGTACAGGTATGGAGAGAAAGTGAGAAAATTCCTCTATAGATAATTCCTCTAAGAAAAAGTGTTATAGGCAGCTGAGTCAAATGGAAATTACTATACAGTCAGAGACGGGGTGGGCTCTCAAGGAAATCAGCAGGAAAAATAAAGACATCAGAATTGTGGCTAGAAAAGTCACATCTGAAAGCCAGGTCTCAAGATAAAGATGAGGTGCCAGGCCTACGCGCCTCCCTGAGGGGTGACAGTAACTTGGGATCATACTGTCACTAGTACCACTGGGTCCAGGAAGTCCAGACAGGCTTCACCCACCAGTGACAGAGCACCCAGACTCATCCTTCCCAAATGCTTTGTTCTTCCACACACCCCTGCTATGTGACCCGCTTGCCTACTGGGTCAACATTAGCTAAGCGTTTATGCTTCTCATCTTATGGGTGACTGTATCTGACCTGCACTGTACCCACATTGTGACCTTGCTGGCCCTGAGAAAGGGCCTCCGTGTCAACCCACTTGAGAGAAATCCAGGAGCTATTCTCTCCTTATTCCAAGTAAAACTCCCCTAACCTCTTCCTTTGGTTCGTGACCTCATTCCTCAATGTTGTGGGACCACAGACTCTAGCAAGTTCAGAGTTATATTTCTCCTATATCAAAAGAAGCAAAATATCTTAGGCAGTCCATCTGACTTTTGGTGTGTCACATTGTGCTGTTCAATGTTTTATGAAAATATAAATAACTTTGCCTCCAACCCAGAACGGATACTAAATGTTTGATTTCTCTTTCTAGGTGATTTGTATCATGAGAAGCTGAAGGTTGAGGCCTCAGGGGGACATCCCTAAGGGAACTGAACTTTCCTGGCAGAAAGTAAGCCTCAGGCGTGAGGTGCCTGATCCGGGGGTTGGTCATTGTAGAGTTAGTAGAAATTCAGGATCTGAAAGGAACCTCAAACAAAAATAATAGTTCCAGTAAGACATGTGGGTCTTCTTTCTTCTCCCTTCACAGCTATTCTGTGGGATGATCGGACTGTAGTAGACACCTGTTCTCTAAAATCAACAGAGGACCATTGTAGGAGATCTTTACATAAAAAGAGTGAAACCCTTCTTTGTGAGCAGCGAAAGAATCTCACATTTGTTAGACCATCCTTCTGTTTCCTGGAATGGTTATCCAGGGTCTTGGGTGCTGTGATGCAAGGAATTTAGGGTGGATTTACCCAAATTTGAGAATTATGGCCGCAAATGGGAAGCAATGAGCATTCTAATGATTATTCAGATTGGTCAACCCATTTGAATCGGAATAATAAAGCATTTTGATAAAATTCATAGTACAGATTTAAAAAAATCAATGTAGCCTATGAATGGAACCAAAAAGTACACGATCATCTCAACTGATACAGAAAAAGCCTTTGATGAAATTCAACATTGCTTCCCTATAAAAGCCCTAAAGAAGGTAGGTGTAGAAAGCTCCTGTCTCAACGTAAAAGCTCTATGTAGAAACTCGACAGCCAGTGTCGTACTGAATGGGGGAAAGTAGAAAGCATTTCCTCTGAGATCAGGAGAAAACAAGCGTGTCCTCCCTCACTTTTCTTATTCAGTATTTAGAACTTTAGCCAAAGCAATGAGACAAGAGAAAGAAATAAAAGGGACACAAAAAAGAAAGAAAAAAGACAATGTATTCCTGTTTGCAGATGATGGAGTTCTATGCTTAGAAAATTCCAGACTCTAAGAACTGATAAATTCAGCAAACTAGCAGGACAGAAAATCAACATACAAAACTCAGTAGCTTTTCACTGCACCAGAATGAACTTGCTGAGAAAGAAATCAAGCAAGCAATCGCATTCACAATCGCCCCCTTCCAAGACAATACCTAGGAATGGAATAAATTTAACTAAGGGGCTGGAAGACCCTTACAATAACAATGATGAAGCACTGGAAAAAGAATTTCAACAAGACCCTACAAGGTAGAAATGAGGTAGGAGATTAGGGCTGGGGGAAAATCAGGTGAGCAAGTGGGTATAACCTGTCTCCAGGGAGACCCAGGGCATGTGTGCAGATCACAGAATCCGGGATAATAGTGCCATTCGGAACCCTGTGCACGGGGCCAACCAGAGAAGTGCCGCTTTTCATTTACATCTGGCGTGAAGCCAGGAGGCCTGTCACAGGACGTCAGGCCAAGTGAGTTTCTGAGAGGAAAGCCGCCCCATGCCTTGCTGGGGAGGGGAGAGACAGAGGGCTGCATACACAGCGGAGCCTGCCCTTGCCTGCTCACGTGCCCCTCTCCCTCTGGGGGGCCACTTCTGCCCACGCCACCCAGTGTAAATTCGCGCTACCTCTTCTACCTGTGTAGCAAGACTCTTTGTTCATGACCCCTACAGCTTGGATAGAATCTCTTCAGGACTGAAAGGCCAGTAACAGAAATACCTCCCATGTTCATGGGTCATGAAAACTAATATTGTTAAAATGTCCTTACTACTAAAAGCAGTCTGCAGGTTGCAACCATCAACGCCCCAGTGACATACTTCACATGACTGGAAGAAACAGCCCTGACATTCATTTAAAAACACAATAGGCCTCAAATAGCCAAAGCAATTCTAAGCAAAACGAGCAAGGCTGCAGGTGTCACAATGCGTGACTTCAAGACATCCTTCAGAGCCATAGCAACGAAACAGCATAAAAACAGACAAAGAGGCCAACGGAATGGCGTGTTGCAGAGCACAGAAACATTCCTCAGACTTCAGCTCAGTGCCTGAGGGGATCCAGAGGCGCTGGTGCTGCAGCATGAGAGAGCTCTAGGGAAGCAGCAGTGAGCGGAGACCTCCGGGATTGTTTATTTGTAACTCAAGGACATGAGAACAAAGACATAGAAGAAAAGCCTCTGCAACAAACTGTACAGGAGCTTTGGTCAGGGGACAGGGCCGGGAGGGGACGATTTGTTACGTGATGCATGCCAACCTAGTTTAAGCAATCCTATCGGGCCAGAGGGGACAATGGCCAAAGCAAACACCTCTGAGAGCAACCCTTTTAATTCTGCTGACGGCCGTTCTGCCGATCTGCTCTACACTCTGACCACACATCCTGGGAGGCCTGAACTGTAGTCCAGAAAACCCCTTCTTTTCCACTCAGTGCAGTCCTTTGGCCAGAGTCTCCCCACAGTAGAAGACCCGTAAATACACCTGTGCACCCACACCCAAGCAACTCTCTCGACAAAGTGCCAAGAACGCACACAAGAGAAAAGACGGCTCTTCACTGAATGGTGCCAGAGAAGCCCTGCACTTGTGTGCACAGGATTGAAACTAGACCCTGCTGCTCAGTCTGGAAAAGTCACCTTGAAATGGATCAAGACCCTAATGTAAGACCCAGAGGTTTGAAATCACTAGAAGAAGACCCAGGGAACACTTCCAGGTATTGGCTCAGGCAACGATTTCCTGATGGGACTCTTAAGAGGCCAGGAAACGAAGGAGTCCACAAATGGGATCACAGCAAATCAAAGTGCTTCTGCCCCGCACAGAAAGGTAGCAGCAGAGTGGGGAGTGGGGAACCCTCCATAGGAGCGGGGGTAATGTCTGCCAGCCGGTCATCTGCAGAGGAACCGGGGGACACAAAGAACCCGCCAAACTCACACCCCAGACACAAGAGATCCAACCCGAATGGCAGGTGATCCAGACAGACACGTCTCAAAAACGTACGAAAGGCCAGGACATATACGAAATGTTGCTCAATAGCTTTAGCCACTAAGGAACTACAAGTCGGTTCTCTGCACTGAGAAGTCCACCTACTCCCATCCGAGTGGCTGTTTGAACAAAACAAAACAAAGCAAAACTGAAAGGGACAAATTCTGGTGAGATGGGGAGAAAAAGAATGCATGCGCCATTGGTGGGACTATCAGTTAGCAGAGCCTCTGTCGATGATGGGATGGACATTCCTCTAAGACCTAACAACAAAACTGCCAGATGGCCCAGCTCTGCTGCTCCTGGCGGTTGGCTCAAGAGATGAAGTCAGTGTGCAGCAGGGGCCGTGCCGGTCCAGCTTCACTACAGCGGTCTTCACGTGAGCCAAGGCGTGGAGCCAGCCAGGCGCCCAGCAGAGGGTGAATGGGCAAAGGAGACACGCACAGGTCCATGGCAGGGCTTGGCCAAGAGGGAGGAGGCCTCTGCAGCTGGAGGACATCGTGCTCAGTAGAGTAAGCCGGACACAGGAGGACCCGTGGCCTGAAGAAGAGGAGGAACTGTTGAGGAGGGGGAGGGGGGGCAGAGGGAGGTGTGAGCAGCGGGCAGCGTGTGTATGTGGAAATGTACAGCAAAACCACGAGTGGTGCACCTAATATGCACTAATAATTATAGGGAAAATAAAGAACAGAACCCCCACGCTCAACAAGAGACAAACAGCACAGCTAGAAAGAAGAGAGCAGACAGTAGGAAGAGGCGCTTCCCAGGTACACAAGCGGCAAATGAGCACAGGCAGAAGTGCTCCACACTGTTGGCCACTGGCAAACGGAAGGCACAACCGGGAGTCACCACCCACCCACCTGGTGACTGAAGTGAAGAGGGCGACAACCCGCTTGTCGGAGCGGAGGCGGAGGCACAGGGACTCGCCCGTGCCTGGGTCCGTAAACTTTCTGGCCACCCTGGGGAGAGTGTGACCGGCCTTTGCAGAGCTGGGGGCTGCCACGCCTCCCGGCCACCGCTCCAGGTGTGTGCCCCAGAGCAGCAAGGCCCACGTTACACAAAAACCGGCACAGGCGCCGTCAGCAGCGCTGGTGGGAGCAGCTGAACCTGCCAGCAACACCGAGGTCCTTCAAAGGTGGACAGTGATACGAAAGCAAAAAGCCTGGCCACAGGGAATCTGTGCCCCTGAGATGCTTGCATGGTGAGGGAAGCCACCTGAAAGACAGATTGACCCGGTCACCGGAGACGCCAGAACAGCGCATAATGTAGAAGCCCGCGCGAGGCCTCAGAACAGGAGAGAGCGCACTTCCGGCCGACCCACGTAACCCGCCAGGGCCATGCCTGTCATGGTCTGTGCCCATGGGGGGCCACCCTGGGGACCCGGAGGAAGGGGACAGCGGGGGTCTGCGCTCCGCACGCCTCTGAGAGTCTTCAAGCTCTTTGCGCAGGTGCTTCAGCGAGTGAGGCTGAGGACAGCCACAGGGAGGGACCTCAGATGCTGAAGTCATTAGAGGAATACAAACCAGAGACACGGTGAGATGCCGCCGCACAGCTACTGGAGGAGTCACATTTCACAGTTCCTCTGACTGCAGAGTAAAACAGGAGTTTTCTAGTGCTCTTGGGAATCCAGTGGCTCATTAGAAGCCCACAGGGGAGGGACATGGCAGGACCCTCCACACACACACAGCATGATGGGGGATGAGCCCGTGCACAGTTGTCCTGGGTCTTTCCCCTGGGATCCAGAAGCATTTAGCGCGAACGCAGACCGCTGTGCCTAAGTTAGCCTGGGCTTCGGACACCTTACGCAGCCACAACCCTGTGTGTCCCAAAATGGCCACTTGGGGGAGCCCAAGTCCTCTTATAACACAGAAGAGCCCCGGGAAAAACCGGCCCGCATTTCAATCAGGAGTGAACCTGTCCCACTGTGTGCATCTTACAGGTACCTGCAGGGTGCTGCGGATTCAGGGAGACCCACCTCTTCTGTGGGACTACCATGCTTACGATCCAACCTCGATGTGCTGCACTCATGTCCAGCCACACCTGGAGACTTGTGTGGCCGCTTGCTCCCTGGGGTATTTTCTCTGCCCTGCTGCTTGGGGTCTGGCCTCCCTCCGTTGGGCCCTCTGGCCCCTCCCTACCAGTCTGGCTTTAGTGCACCTGGGGCCCGTGAGTGTCCCCGGCAGCCTTCACCCTCCTCCTCGCCCTCCTTCCACCCTGGAATGATCAGTTGTGGTGGGGACAGCAGGGCAGCAGGAAGAGGTGACCTGGGACCACCAGGGCTGGGCCCTCCTGTGGGGCTCTGGCGGTGCTGTGATTTGTATCCGGATGTCCCTCAAAGCTCACGCACTCATCTGTGGGGCTTCGGGGAGGCGATTGGGTCATAGGTGTGTGACATCACCCGGGGAGGGGTTTGCAGCTGGGGTGGTGTTGGGAGGTGCAGCCTAGTTAGAGGAGCTGGGTGGCTCAGGCGTGGCCCAGAAGGGTCTCTCTCTCTCTCTCTCTCTCTCTCTCTCTCTCTCTCTCTCTCTCTCTCCCTCTCTCTCTCTCTCTCCCTCCTTTCTCCTTGATGTCTCTTTGCCATCACCTTGTGAGCACCTTGTCCTTCACCAGGCCCCTCTGCCAGGCCACCCTGCCTGGGAGCCAGCCAACCATGGACTGAACCTCTACAAACTGTGAGGCAAGTAAACTTTCCTTCCTTACAGTCGTGGCTGTCAGGTGTCCTGTCTCAGCCGTGAGAAAGTAATAAGATGCGGTGGAAGAAAGAGAACCTGGTGACTGCGGTCCTCGTGCCTGCAAGGCTGACCTCCCGGCCCCAGCGGAGTGGCGGGCAGGAGAAGCCTGGGCAGAGGCCGGGTGACCACGTGTGGGACATCTTGGACTGGGCTGTGCCCTTTTTCCGAGCCAGGCACAGGCGCCGGGGCCCTCTCTGACCTCCTCCAGTCAGACACAGCCCACAGAGGTCATGGTCCTTGTGGCCAGGGACCTTGTTCTGTCAGCCCCCATCACTGGCAGGTGACAGCTACATTTGACCTCAGTGCAGGGCTCCTGGGACCTGGCCTGGCCGCCCCGTCCATCTGACGGAGCACGCCCATCGTCACCAAGGCCCCCAGCCCTGCACCGCTCGGCACTGCTGAGCTGTGCTTGCTACCCCAGCCCCAGGCCCAGGCCCAGGCCCAGGCCCAGCAAGCCACCTTACCCTGTCCCAGAGGCACTGCCAGGCACACCAAGTTGGGTGTGGCTATGGTGAGACCTCCAGGTAGCTAAGTCTTAGTGCCATGGCCCCGGTGCCCAGGGTGTGCCCTGCATGTGACAGAGGCGCTCAGACCTGCGACGAGCCGGCACTCTCAGAAGCTCCTCTGTGACACTTCGTTACAGCTCAGGGCCGTCCCCAGACTTCCTCCTGCTGTCCCTGGGCTGCACCAGCAGCCCTCTGCCCACCCCGTGTACACTTCCTCTGGTGATCATCACCAAAGCCGTCTCTGAGAATGAGGGTTTGGCCTTCCAGCGTGACCGTGGGCACATCCACAATGTCCCAGGAATCCTGTGTACCCAGGCAAACAGGTGCACACAGGTGTGCACACAAACACTGAAAGTGTCTGTACAAGTACACAAGCATGTGCACACAACACGCATGATAACTCACCCAGCGCACCCAGCACACAGGTGCATGTACCCACGCACACCCACCCCCATGCTGGGAGCTGCTGGAGCTGGTTATTGGTCAAGCAATCAAGCTGGTTATTGGTCAAGCCTCAGTATTGAAAGAGGCGTCCTGCCGGACAATTACAGTCATTAGTCGCTAGGCAACATTACCCTCCATGATCTAACTTTGCAAGTGTATAAAATAAATGCCCCTACTGTTGAAGTCAGTGCTCCTGCTCATCAGGCAAGAGGGAACTCCACCCGATCCCAGCTCTTGTCTCTTGTCTTTATTTTTCCCATACCCACCGCTGTTTCTCTCCGGGGTACAAAAAGAGACCAGTAAGGTTTACTACATCCCCACATGACCTGGGAAGCTGCTGCTGCACCTCCCCCGCCCCCACGTCCTGAGGGACAGGAAGCTGAAAGCCAGGGGCCCATGCCCAGCAGAACTCCGGGGTGTCCGGGCACTGCTAGATCTTCCACTTGAGCCTGGGGCTGTCCCTGGCCTTTCCGTCCCCCAAGCGGGAGAACAGTTGCATAACCTGGCGACCGTGGGCAGCCCAGGCCCCCGCCTAGCCTGCACCTGTGCTTGCTTCTCTGTCCCCTGGGAGCCCCAATCCTTTTAGTCTCGGAGGTTGAATAGCTTGGCTCCCTGACAGGCCCCAGGATACCTGGGTCTGTGCGACTTGCATGGTCATGTGGGAGGGGCTGGCTCCTACAGCACCCTCTCCCGAGGCTCAGCACCTCCATATGTGGTGCTGGCATCTCCTGGGCCCTCTCAGGGTCTCAGAGCCCGGGGCTCCTGGTGTTGCAGGTGGCCTTGGCCACAGGGTCTCAGCTGCCCTCCATGGAGGGCAAAGCCACCTCTCTGTTCCATGTCTGGTGCTGTGTCTGAGGGTAAACCAGGCGCTCAGCTCACTGAGGGGGCGATATTTACTGCAGACCCCTCAGTGACTGCAGGCTGTGGGGCCGGAGGCTGGGAGCCCAGGCCCCCTGGGCAGAAGTAGGGACCTCCGGCCCCTGGCTCCTAAGCTTGGGAGCACAGGCTGCTGGAGGGCCAGTGAATGCGTGTGACCCTGCCTCAGACCCTCACGGTACTGCTGTCCAACCAAGCAGGGGCGTGGGGTGCTCCAGGACCAGCCACAAAGCTGCCTCATCCAAAAGCAGCCCAGCCCCAGCCTGACCTTTTCAGTAGCAGCACCTGTCGCCCCGGGGGTGCCAGCGTCCCGCCCGCTGTCCTGGTTATCCAAACACGCGGGTCCGGGTTGGGGGGGCCCACTGGGATCTGAGGGTATATATGCAGCAGTACTGGGACCCACCCAGCCGCGGAGACCTACTGCCCACAACAGTGCGTCAGGATGAAGCTGCTGCTGCTGAGCCTTGGGCTGGGCCTGGCCTGTGCCCTGCAGGACCCCGAGGAGGTGCCCGTGCAGCCGGGCTTCCGGCCTGAGGAGGTGCGTGCCTGGCCTCGGGGGAGCCAGGAGGGCATTCCCTGCTCCCTGAAGCTTCTCCAGGGCCTGTCTCCTCAGTGCCCTGTGTACCCCAGCTGCCTGGGCACCACTACCTGGAGTCCAAACAGGACAAGGCCTGTTGGCCAGGGGTCTTCGCCAGGCGTCCCCTGCCTGCTGACCCCGAGGTCCCCACATGGGTGAGGACACTCTTCACTGGTAGGGGCTGATGTGGGCCTTGCCCCTGGCCAGCAGACATGTAGTTGGGCAACCTGGCTGGGTGAGGGCAGAGCCAGCAGCCCTAAAGTCCCACCCAGCACAAGGGGAACTCGGGGTATAAACCCCATATGCTTGTGGGGTGCACCTGCCCTTCCCGCTCTGAGCAGATCTCTGGGGGAGCAGCGCTCAGGTGACATGTGCGTTGCAGGTGGAGGGGCCCTGGCAGACCCTTAAGCTGGGCGCCACTGACCGGTCCGTGATTGAGGAAGGCGGGGCCTACCGGTGCTTCATGACCAGCATCAGAAATCTAGGGAACGGAAACATGAACGTCACCTACTTCCACAGGTGAGGGCCCGGCCTGGCGCTGGCCACAACCCAACCTTTCCAGGGAACCCCCTGCTCCCCGCTCAGCTGGGGGCCTGGTGGCTGCTCAGCCCTGGCTGCTCTCCTGGTGGCGGCGGGCAGCACCTATAGCTCTACTAGGGTGAAGGTTCTGCAGACATGTCCGGAAAAGCTGGCTTCTTGTTAGGAATGAGCACGGGAAGTGCGTGGAGGAATTCTTCATTGGGGAGAAGACCGATACCCCTGGCCTCTACACTTTCGAGTGTGAGTAGAGGGACCCCTCCCTTCCCAGGTGGGAGCCGGGCTGGGTGCGGCTGGGTGTTGGTGCAGATGGGATGGGGGGGTCTCTGGAAGCCACAGTAGAAGGCGGGGTGGGGGACACAGTGAAGAGGCGACCCCAAGACCTGGCAGCCACACTCTCTGCAATTCAACATCTACAGCAGAGGCTGCAAACAGGTTCTCAGGTTCCCAGGGTTGCCTGTAAACTGTGGGGACACCTTTTCCTGTCCACAAAACAGCCAGGGTTGGGGTGAGGCCAGCGGGAGTAGCGGGGCTCCACCCTCCTCACCCAGCCTGGGGCCTGGATGGGCTTTCCCTCCAGACAGCGGTCTCGGGAAGGCTTGTGGGGCAGCTGGAGCGGGTGGGGCAGAGGGGACAGAGGGTGCCAGGCCTCATATGCTGGGTGGGAGGGGGCCCAGGCTGCAGAGGCCACTGGGCAAGGTGTGGACACTGGGCTGGGCCTGGGGAGCAGCTCGGGCCTGCTCCCTCTTCCTCTCCCAGGCCCCTGCTGTCACCAGCGGCAAGGACACAGAGACAGAGACAGAGACAGAGACAGAGACAGAGACAGAGAGATGGAGAGAGACACACAGAGGCAAGGCAGGGCTAGAGCGCGGGATGTCTGGCTTCTGAGCTGTCTGGAACCAAAGGGCGACTGGGAATGGGCAAGGCTGAGGAAGACAGGGAGGTTCTGTGTAGAGCTGTGCCTGGTGCCACCTGGAAAGGCAAGGAGGTGCAGGACAGGACAGACCCCACGGACGCCTGGATGGAGGACGGGCCCGGCTCTGGTGCTCTCTTGGATTTCTCTTTTTTTTTTGTGGTACCGGGGATCGAACATTGTGCCTGCCAGGCAGGCCTTGTGCACTGAGCTAAATCCCCGGCCCTGTGGTGCTCTCTTGCACAGCTGCCAGTGAGAACAATGGCATGGCTGGGGAGAGGACACATGGGCGATGTGTTTGGAGAATCCTTGGGACAACGTGACTGTCGCTGGTACTGCGGAAGGGAGAAAGGGTAGACTAACAGCTTAACGCCAAAAAGCTCCTGAGGAGTGACAGTCTCTGTCTCATTTATTACAAAGCAGAGATGTTGCGTGGCTATTTTTATTATTTATTTATTTATCTTTTTATTGTTTTTTTTTGAGACAGGGTCTCGATCTGTAGTCCAGACTGGCCTGAAACTCACTGTGTAGCCCAGGCTGGTCTCAAACTCTTGGTAATCCTCCTGCCTCAGCCTCCTGAGTGCTGGGATTACAGGCATGCGCCACCACACAGGGCTATCTCATGGCTTTTTGATGTGTACCATAACTCAACAGATCTCCTACCCAGAACTCAGATCATGAGTGAGTGACAGCGTATTTTGTTGGATGGTCCTAATCCGAGTAAAATTGGCTTGTAGTTGAATGGATGTGATTTTTTTTTTTTTTTTTTAATTTTTGACAGTAATTCCAGCTCTTAAACACCCTCTGTTTTCCCTTTCTAAAGATATGGCTGGACTTGCTTAGTAATGTCCAACTTCTCACAGAGGTGGGGAATGTCCTGTCAAAGCCTGTGAAGTTTTACTTTTTGATTTTAGTGAGGTGTATGTATAATACCAAGTAAAGAATATTTAATACTTCTCAAAAAAAAAAAAAATCACTGATGGCCAGACTTGAAGAAAAAGAAGGACCACCCACCCATATACTTCCCCTGGGGATGAACAGCAGCAATTGGTATTTAGGCCGTTGATCACCTTGGGGTGGGGACCAAACCTCCTTAACCCACCCCTTCCGGGAAAGTCCTTGCCTGCCACGTGTGCTTGGACGTGACTTGTTTCCCCATTTGATCCCATTTTGTCAATATTACCCTAGCAACTATACTTGTAATCTTACTGGTTGACCATAGTTTTGTCCTACCTCACACTATCCTGTGATTTGCCATTGGATCAATGTTACCTAAGTGACTATACTTGCAATCTTTTTGACTGGTTACAGCTCTGTCCCACCTTAAGACCGCCTCACCTCCTGGCTTTGCTTAATAAAACACCCTTGGGGGGCAACCCACTTTCCAAAGAGAGAGAGAGAGAGAGAGAGAGAGAGAGAGAGAGAGAGACAGCCTGGCTGCTGGCTTGGCTCTGCAGGGCTGGGGCTGGGCTGAGTCGGGAGATGGGGTTGGAGCTGCCTGGGCTGGACAGGTGTGGGGTACGGGGCGGCTGGTGCTGGATCCCAATGGGCCTGAGGCTCTCGTGGCTCCTTCCCCACGTAGACAAAGGCAAGAACACCCTGACTTTTGTGGCCGTGGGCAGTGACTTTACCATCATGGACTTCCAGAATGACAACCTGGACCTCGCGGTGGTTGAGCTGCAGGGTGGGTGCCCGCGGTACAGGGAGGGAGGCCAGCAGGGAGGAGGCCCTTGTCTCAGGACACGACAGAGCGGCCTGGGCCCTGTGCTGGGGGAGGCGGGCAATGGAGGGCAGCGAGGTGCGCTGGGCACCAAGCGGGTGGTCTATAACCGCGGGGCCCCCGGGCGGCAGTCCGGCCTCCCTCTCTCTCCGTGAGTCCACCAGGGCAGGAGGCCTACAGCAAGCACCTGTCCAGACGCGGCATCGGGTCTGACAACACGGAGGACCTGACTGTGCAGGGTGAGCGGCCCTTTGTCCTGCACCTCTTATGGGCCCAGAGGCCACAGCCCTGTAGGAGAGGCCCCGGGGCGGACAGGCAGGAGGAGAGGCGGCTCTGGGGACAGCCAGGGCTTGGCAGTGGGGGGTTCCCCTGACCTCCCCTCTTCCATCCGCAGCACGGTGCCCCTCCCCCGGCTCCTAGGTGAGTGGACCCCAGCGTTTGGCTCTGCTCCTCCGGCTCCGACGGCTTGCAGGAACTGTCTTCCAGCCACCCTGCTGCCTGGCCAGGAGTGCGGGTCTCGGCCTGAGGCACTGTCCAGGGACCAGGCAGACAGGCTGTGCTGGGGCTCACGGGGCTCGGCAGGGCCCCTCAGGAGCCAGGCTCAGGGCCTCAGGGCGACCATGGCCCCTGGCCACCTGGGGCTCGGAGGGGGCATGGAATGTGGGCCTCGGGCCCCGCCCCATCTGCAGTCACCCAGGCTAGATGCCCCCGTGCACACACCCAGCTGGTGCACACCAGTGCACATGTGCACATGTGGCACACACACATCTCTCGAACACACATGTACACACCTGTGCACACACACAGCCCTCCTGGCCCCTCAGCCTTGGCTTGCTCCCCACTTCCTGCACCCCAAGTGCCCTGCTCCCTCCTCTGCACTGACCCGTGTGGCCACCCCGTCTCCCCTGCAGCACAGCGGGCCGCCCATGCCCTCAGCACGCCACGGCCCCCAGGCAGCCCTGACCCTGCTCCTCCAGGGCGTTGTCCTGGAGCTCTTTCACCCCAACCTCCTCACAGCTTGGGGACGTGGGGACACACAGGCCCCTCAGAAGCCCCAGAGTCACAGCCAGAGGCTGCAGGAGGCTGGGGTCTGTGAGCTCTGTGGCCTTGGTCCGGGGGGATGGGCACTGCATGCAGAGCTCAGAGGCTCGGGGTTCAGTGGGTCAGACACGGGGCACGCAGGGCTCTTGGGACGGGGACAGCAGGACAGCGGAGGGCAGGGCCTGAGAGGAGGCCTGCTGGGCTGGAGGTACATCCAAGCATGTGCTCCCCAGGTCCCCGAGCGCAACGGCAACTGGAACGGGTGTCTTGCGGCCTCAACTTCCAGACAGCCCCACCCCCACCCCCCAATAAACAGGCTCTGCATCTGCTCACGGTTCTTGGCCTCTTGTCTGTACCTGGGGGCCGCAGCGCTGCTGGATGGGGGCAGCACACGCTTGTGTCCCCGGCCCTTGAAACAATGCAGGCCGGGTCTCGGGGCTGGGGGGGCCCCAGAAATCCGGGAGCCAGGCACAGCTGGGCTGTGGAGGGGTGCAGGGAGTGCTGGGCCGCCGGCCCCCACCTGTCCTGCTGGCCGCTTCTGTGTCCCAGCTGTGCTCCCACAGGCCTGAGTGGAGCTGGCACCTGCTGGGGCAGCACTCAGGGTCCCCAGGCTCCTGGCCAGAGACCCCCAGCAGGAAGGAGGTGGGGCCCAGGGGCCTGGGGCGCTGCAGAGGCTGGGGTTCAGAGGAAGGCACTGTCTGGGCAGACCAGGTTCTGCACCCGCCCCGAGACCAAGCGGACCCTAGAAACGACCTGTGGCTGCTGGGACTCTCTGTGGGGCTGGAGAGGGGACGGGGACGGGAGAGGTTCGCAGCAAGTGGGCACACAGCCACACTGGTTCAGGGCCTGGCTGCACTGTTCCCCGAGTGCCCTCCACACAGGGGCTGAGCTAGGTGGACACGAGGGCAGTGAGGACACAGGACATGTCAGGGAGGGAGACAGTGGCCTAGGAGGAGCCAACGCGCCTGCGCCCTCCTCTCCGAGTTCTCCTGGCCTCACCTGCTTCTAGCACAGACTGGCGGGGCAGCCAGGTCGCGTCTGCAGGTCACACAGACACAGACACGGGTGGCCACAGGAGGCGGCCCCTGCCCCAGGAAGGACCAGTTGGTCAGGGCCGGGCGGACAGCAGAGTCGGCCAGACAGTGGCTCCTGGAAGACTGCAGAGAGGAGCCGGCTGGCGCTGTTCCTGCTTGTCCCGGCACCATGCTGCTGGAGGGAGGGCTGCTGCCGCCGCTGCTGCTGGCTCTCAGCCTGGGCCTGGCCAGCGCCCAGCAGGCTCTGGGTGAGGTGCCGGTACAGCCCGGCTTTGATTTGTGGAAGGTGGGTGTTGTGGGCCAGGGCCCACAGGGTGGGGGGCGCGGGGAGCATGGAGGGGCTCTGGCAGCAGCAGGGGCAGAGGCAGAGGTCCAGGGCACAGGGCACATGCATGAACTCTATCCTCCCTGCCTGCTCCGGGTGATTGCAGTGATCTCCTCTTCCCCGTAGGTCCCAATCTTCCCCTGTCTGCTGGGCCCAGGGGTTCTGGTGACCACGGTCAGGTGTGGGGGGCTGTGGACAGCGCCACAGGACACAGAATGGTTCTGGGAGTTGGTGGCTGTTCCTCCTGCCCTCTGGTCTTGCTGGGGAAAGAACTCAGGCAGACTGGGCAGGGGCGAAGGAGGGGGCATCGGGCCAGGGGAAGGGAGTGGGGAGGGGAGTTTGTTCAAGAAGGTAGGGAGCATGGCTTAGGTCTACCTGGGGTCTGTGGGGTTCACCTTGATGCAGGGGGCCATTGGCTGGTTCCCCCCTGGGCCACATTGCCTGCTGGCCCTGCTCAGAGCCCAGGCTGTGCCCGGGGATGACAGATGCAGGGCCCGGCCAGCCTCACCCTCCTGCGCTCACACCCGCAGGTGGAGGGACATTGGTTCACTGTCCAGCTGGCCACCAGCTGCACACACTTGGTCTCCCCGGAGGACCCCCTGAAGCTGTCCCTCCACTCCATCTGGGCCCGGGACCGTGGAGACCTGGACTTCGAGCTGTTCTGGAAGTGGGTGTGGTCCCCATAGTCTTGGGGCCCCAGGGACAGCACCGGGGTCAACGCCAGAGGGATAGGGTCCTGAATGTGGGCAAAGCCTTAAGAGGAGGGCCTGGCAGGAGAGACAGCCTGTGGGACAGACAGCCCCGCACTGCACACAGGCAGTGCTGTCCTGGGGACCCTGAGTCCAGAATTTCAAACGTGCCATTTCCAGTGCTTAAACACTGCCTGCTTACCCGTGTAGCACCGCCCCCGCCCCCCGCCTCTGCCCTTCGAGGTCCCCTCTGCCTTGGAGGAAGTGAGGGGCGCAGGGGGTGCTTGCCACACCAGCCACACCAGCTACAGCACACCGTGCCCTGACCTGTGTGCCTCCCCTCCTGTTCACTGCAGGTAGGGGACAGAGCTGTGTGTTGCTGATCTCATCCCGGACACAGCGGCTCAGGGACGGGGGCAGCAGCCAGGCGGCACTCGCCGCCCCCAGAACACTCACGGTGGGGCTTTGTGCACAGAGCCGGCAGTCAGGGGCATCAGGACAGGTCCCAGCCGCAGGACCCAGAGCTCAGAGCTGGGGTACCATGCCCCCGCTCCTCTCCCCCCACAGCCGACTGTCCCTGGTGCCCTCAAGCCGGGGGAGTGGGGACCCCGGGGAGGACATGGGGCTGTGAGCCGGGGATGCCCTCAACATCCCCTGGCACAGCTACGAGCAGTCCACATCCCAGGCGGGGCACCAGGAGCTGGGGAGGTGCTGGGTGTCAGCACCCCTCTTTCCTCAGGGGACAGGGTGTGTGTGAAGGAATGAACATCACCTTCCACCCAGCCAGGCTGCAGGGCCAGTACCGCGGCTCCTGTGAGTACCCACTAGGGTCTGGGTAGGCAGGGGTTCAGGTGGCACCTAGATGCCTGGCTGGTCCCAGCCCTGGGGAGCCGCTGACTTTGGGGAGCAGTGGGTGCTGGGAGGGGGCCATGTTCTTGGTGCTGCCTGTGGGGGGCGGGGACAAGGCAGAGGTCCCTGTGTCACTGGCTGGGTCTCTCTAGTTGAGGGGAGCCATGTGCATGTTCACTTCGTCAGCACGGAATACACCAACCTCATCCTTTACATTTGACATGAGGATGCCGAGGTCACCAGCCTGTGGGTGCTGCTGGGTAGGTCCTGAGGGAGGCCGGCCGCAGGGTGCTGGGTCAGCTAAGGGGTGCCTCAGGGCCAAGGCAGGGAGCAGGGTCATCAGGACCCATGTCCTGTGTGTTGGAGAGTGAAGCATTCCTGGAGAAGAGCCGCGTGGGGGGAAGGGAGGGCAGCCCTGAAGTCCAGAGGGAGGGGCGGCTGAGAGCCACAGGCTGTGGCCAGGGCCTGAAGGCTGTGGTGACACCGCTAAAGTCTGGGGCTGAGAAGGACAGTGGTGGGGTGACCATGAGCGGGGCTTCCGGCCTCACCTGGAGGGCAGAGACTGGCTTTCGCAGGAGTTGAGAGTGGGGCTTGGGGCGGCAGTCTAGGCCAGGGAGGTGGCAGGGCAGGAGGCGCCCCTGTGATAGGGCTGGGCACGATGCCTTGGCTCAGCCCCCTGCCGCAAGGTCCGGCAGGAAAGCAGCTCCGAGCCTCGGCCTCACCCCAGCCTCTCGTTTCAGCGAGGAGCCTGCCCGGGAACCCCTCGTGGCTGCGGAGCTTCAGGGAGGGCGTGGAGTCTCTCTACCTGCACAGAGCTCCGATCTCCAACATGGCCGGTGAGTGCTGCCCTCGCCTGCCCTGGCCAGCCGGGGACCATGAGGGTGAAGATGGCTGGAGGGACATGCCCCACGGTGCCCACAGTCAGTCTGTGCCCCGGCTGCACCAGCAGGGCTCTCGTGGCCCTGAGGACAGTGTGGCTCAGACACATTGAAGAGCATGCCAGGGTTGCACAGCGGGGGCAGGAGGAGCTGGGATCTCAGCCTGCTGAGGCCAGTGTCCAGCCTGGCCCCTGCTCTATGCCAGTTCCCCATGTGTCAATTAGTCAATCAACACACGCACACAGCCAGGCCTGTTCTGGGAGCCTGGATGCACGCAGAACAGAACAGGCACCTTCTCCAGCCGGGTGCAGGTCTGGGGGAGCAGGCGGGGGCAGGTGGTGGGAAGGGATGTATAAATAGGAGACACATAAGGGGTGGGCTCAAGGCCCGAAGAGGGCTCAAGGCCAGGCCGGGCATCAGGGACACTAGGCTGGGCTTCCGCAGAGCACCAGGGCTCGTGGCCCTCAGGACTCAGCCACTGTGGGGGCACAGGGGCATCCTGGGGCGGGGCGGGCAGGGTGTGCTGTGACGCTTGGCTTCACTGACAGAAGGCAGCCCTCTGAGTCTCATCTCCTGTCCTCCAGGCCGGTGCCCCCCGCCTGAGCTGGGCTGAGGCTGGTCCCGGCTTCCTGCTGGGCCCCCACCCTGTGCGGCACCCTCAGCTCCTCCTCTTCACCCTCTGCTGGAGCCCTGTCCACTTCACCCCTGCCTTCCAGTCTGGATCACCAGGTCCTGCCAGCCCACAGCTTGGAAGGGATCCACCACACTCCCCAAGCTGCCATGCCTAGAAGAACCCCAGGGACATTAGGGGGCACATGACTCCCCAGAAACATCCAGGAGCTGAGCCCATGGGGTCTCCCACAGTGTCTTCCTCCCCAGGGTGGCCTCGGAGGGACCTAGATCTGATCCTCCAGCCAAGGCGTAGAGCTCCGGAGCCCACAAGAGCCCCACCCTGTGCATCTGGCCCTGCTCCAGCCAGGCAGGCCTGGAAAAATGGGGTCAGACACGCGATGCTTCCATCCAGAGGCCCCAGACAGGCCTGGCCAGATGCCCAGCCCAGGAAACATCCCGCAGAGCCTGAGGAGTGAGGCGCCCCGGCCAACGCCCTTCCACCACCAAGCCTGGCGAGGTAGACTTGACCCAGTTAGGCCCGCCGGCCCCGTGTGGGCCGTCACCTGAGGGTGACTCAGAACTGCAGGCAAGCACGGTTACAAAACAGACAGGGAGCACCCTGGCTTCCCCACGAGCCCGCAGCCCCGGGAAAACGCAAAATCGAGCAGGCAGCAGACAAAAGGCCAGCTCAGAACCCACAGGCGCCCTGGCCGGGAGGAGAGGGCAATGGTCCTCATCCAGGGCCAGAGGGCGCGGGGGTCGGGAGTCCAGTCCCCTCTGCTGCCGCTGCAGAAACAGAGCAACACGAATAAATGCAGATAAACACGCCATCTCTGTTTCGTCCACAGGATCCCAAAGATTCAATAGCCCTTGAGTTCATCTGCACCTCGCAGACAATCACACCCATGCTTGGTGGGAGAACTTTCTCCCAGGCTACAAACCTGGATCCCAATTCACATAAGGAATGAAAGCAGTGAAATGTTTTATTAAGAAAAGCAATGTAACTGGATGTGGTGGTGCACACCTGTAATCCCAGCGCTTGGGAGGCTGAGGCAGGAGGACTGCCATGAGCTTGAAGCCAGGCTGAGCTACATAGCCACACTGTCTCAGGACACCAGAAAACAAAACAAAAGCAATGTAAATGTATCTGTCACCCTACTGCAGTATTAAACGACACAGACAAAAATTAGATGGCATTCTCTCAGGACAGAAAGACAGACACAGAAGTGAGGACACAAAATCAAGAAATGAACACAAGTGTGAATATCAGTTTAACACACGGCCATCGTGAAAACGTGATTTATTCTACAGTAACAGGGGACGGGATGGGCAGGGCTACGTGTGGCAGGGGTGAGAGACCTCATCCCACACCACGCCTTAAATCGATCCCTAAGGAGAACCTTGAGACAGGGCTACCCCAGGGAAAGGCGACCGGCGTGTCAGAGTCCTTGGCAATGAGACCAGAAGACAGAGGACCTGGGCCAAGCCTGCAGCGATGAAGAAGGAGAGAACAAGACACCGAGAACAATGCCCCAAAGACTGGAAAAGCTGTGCAGAGCTGTCCAAGTCCCAGGCTGACAGATGCGATTTAACCCAAGTCCAACTCTGTCACGATCCTAAAGAGACACTAGTTTTTAAAAATCAAAATAGAGGTTTTTTTGGTGGCACTGGGGGTTGAACACAAGGCCTTCACACTGGGCTATATCCCCAACCCTTTTTATTTTTTGAGACAGGGTTTCACTTAGTGCTAACTTTCAATCCTCCTGCCTCAGCCTCACTGCTTAGTGAATTATAGGCCTGTCTACCATGCGTGGCTAAAAGCTTTTTTAAAAGGTCTGTTAGTGTACACTGGCACAAGTGCCCGCTATGAGCAGGGACGGAGCCTGGAGGTTGGGATGACCCGGTTTTCCTGTCTTTAAATGAGCTTGCTCTTGGACTGGCAGTTCTAGATGCTGACAAGTTTACCTGTCCTCTCCAGTATGGAGGGGATCCCAGCACTCAGGAGGCTGAGGCAGGAGGATCACTTCAAATTTGAAGCCAGCCTGGGCTCCATAGTGAGTTCAAGGCCAGCCTGAACTATATTGTGAGAGCTATCTTAAAAAAAGTTTACCCATCATTCTCCCAGATAAATCAAGGAATTTAGGGTGGTTTAATATTGTTCCATGATTTTTCTAAAGGTAAAATTTTAGAAATCTTCTCAATAAATTACCCTTACACATAAATTGGCAGGGAAATGCATCTTGTGTAGTGCAATCCTCCCTCCCTCACCCAGTTCAGATAAATAGCTGAGTAGTAATTGTAGATCTGGGGTTTGTGGCTAATATAATATTCTCTTTCTCTCTGTCTGTCTCTGTCTCTGTCTCTAACTCTGTCTCTGTCTCTGCCTCTGCCTCTGTCTGTCTCTCTCTTTCTAGGATCTTGTTATGTAGCCCAGGCTGGCCTCAAACTCATGGTGATCCTCCTGCCTCAGCTTCCCAAGTGCTTGGTCACAGGTGTGTGCCAGCACACCAGGCCCTAATTCCTCTGTCCTGAAGTTCATGTAGGCTGATTTTAATGGAGAAAGACTGCAAGAGGCAAGAACAGAGTCATCAGAAGTGTCATCTTCCTTTAGTCCCAGGGACGGCAGCAGGAGAGGTAGGGACATCTGGACAATGGTGGGGTGAGGTCATGGAGGACACGCAGGTGTCAGCCCCGGGCCTGACCCAGAAGCCAAGCCTGACGTCTCTGCCTGCTTCCCAATCCTGATGTGAGCGCTGGACACCCCGGAACGTTGGTGTTAGAACACTGGTCCACTCATCGCTGGTCCATTACGTGCAGAACACACAGTACCCACAGAGCCGGTTGTCGGGGCCACGGACTGAGGGTCCAGGCTGGGCAGGGTCGGCCACCATCACCTAGTCTCTCGTGGTGCTGCAGGAGGATGTCCACGATCATGGGGTCACAGAGCTGGCTCCTCCCTGGCCTCCCTCCTCGGGCCCCCCACATGGTCTCTCCCTGTGTCCCTGTGTCGCCTCTGAGCGCGTCTGTCATGATCTTGTCATGTTGGATTAAGGTTACTGTGAAGGCTTTGTTCACATCCTCCGGAGCTGGGGGGTACAGTTCAGCCATACCTCCCAGTTGTCCCCCAAATCCCACCTAGGAAGCAGCCACCATGGGGCCCTGGCCGTGTCAGGTTAGTTTTGAGCAGGGAGCTCAGTTCCACCGACAGCCTGACCCCAACAGACCGCAGGCACTTGGGGACCCGGTGTGTCCCGCCTCCATTCCGGCACAGCCCCTTCACCACGGAGCCCCACAGACCCGCCTTTAAATTAAAATGGAATTCCTGCAACTCTGAAACCTCCGTCTCACCCCTCCGCGACCACAGGCATTGCGCCCTGGCCCACGACGGTCCCCGCACTGAAACCTCACAGGTTACCTGATGCCCAGAGCTGGTGGCTATTTATTTTTTTTTTACATTTAACACTTCCACTTTGTGACTAGATTTTTATCTTTTTTATAAACTAGGGTCTTTCTCCTGTTAAAAAAAATGGTTCTGTGTCCAAAGTACTTCCATGTTTTCTACAGCACAGAGCTGGTGGTATTACTGTGCGTGGACTCTAAATAATTTTCTTTTGGGTCAAAACTGCAAGGAGGAAAATCTCTTTTGGAAGGGACACATTTCCAGCCTCTGAGGAGCGGATGTTGTGCAGCTGCCCCACACAGGTGGGCGCCAGCCTCAGGTTGCCCTCCTCTGCTGCGCCACCTTGACGTACCTCACCTGGGGAGGGAGGTTGAGTGTGAGGTCCCAGCCGTACTCGGGGGACAGCAGCTTGGCGGGCTTGTGGAGGAAGAAGTACTTGTTGAGGCACTTCTCATAGGAGCTGTTGAGCCTTTTGTTCTGGTCCTGAATCATGCCCCGCAGACACTCCTCCACGAGGTCCAGCACCTGCCAGGGCATACCGCCCACGATGGTGCTCCCGTAGTAGAAGTCACCCTGCCCAAAGGGAATGTAGGCCTCCGAGCTGGGATTCCGCACGTAGGGGAGGTGTTGGGGTTTCTGGAAGTACCACCAGGGGTGCAGCTGGGCCACGGATGTGCCCAGTGTCTCCAGGCCGAACTCACCCTGGAAGACCAGGTTGCTGGTCATGGCGAAGAGGAAGTCCACCTCGCCCTTGATGTGGTCCACCAGGTGCTCTTTCAGGGTTTGCAGGAACAGGAGGTCCAAGTCGGGCCACCACTTATCCTCACCCGCAATCATGAGGACCTGGAGGCTCTGCAGGGGGCCAAGCGGCACGTCGAGGGGCATCGTGTAGGAGTCTAGGATGACATAGAAGATCACCTGCTGGCCGGGCATGAAGTACATGGTGGCTGAGCGCAGGAACTGCTCCAGGTTGGCCTCTGCAGAGCTGGGGCACACAGAGCAGTGGCTGCCCATCTGAGGACCAGAGGACGCCCTACGCGCTAACGAAAGCATCACTGATGCTAAAGGTTCTGAGGGGGCAGGGTCAGCATTTGGGTCCCAGCACACAACCTGCTGGCCCGGCTGTGTGACAGCAGTATTGGGAAGCAGCCATGAGAGCAGAGTGGACACAAGCCTCAGGGCTCCTGGGGTCCTCGTGGAACCAGCCACAGTGGAGAAAAGAGCGGTGCCTTTCCTGTGCTGCCCACGAAGGCTGCTCAGAGGGGCAGAGACCCAGGGAGGTTTGTCCTCATGTTTCCAAAATAGAAAGGGCAAAGGTTGGCGGCACCTACCTGCCGCTGGCAAAAACTGCCAGCCCCACGGTGAGGTTCTGCCCCCTGTAGTGCCTCTCCAGGGCCTGCCTGCTGAAAGTGCCTTCCCACAGCACTGGGGCCAGCCAGGGGGTGAGTGTGAGGACGTCCGGGCGTTTCCTGCGGGAGGCACAGAATAAGCTGAGCATGTGGAACCACACATTCAGGACGCCTGCTGGCTACCCGGCAGGCAGGCGGGCAGAGCTGCTCATGCAGCCTGATGAGCCCACAGGAGAGCCCCGTGCCCTGTGTGTTCGTCATGCAGGGAACCAGGGCTTGGATGACGGTACATGTGGCTTCAGCACACGGCCAGCTCGGGCCACACCGGGATGCGCTATCCATGTGGTCCTGGCCCCACCACCACCCCTGAGTCCAGGGCCACAGAAAGGGAGCCAGAGGCCTTGCATTCCTGGTGGCCCCCGAAGCTGCGCGTGTCTCGGGCGGGACCGTGCCTCCCTCATGCCCTTCGTCCCCCTCTCTGCATCCTGGTCTCGCCCACACAGAAGCTGCCGCAGTGGGCCAGCGGAGACAAGAAGAGGAGTCCAGGCAGGAGAGGGACATTAGATGCACGCGCTTTCAGTCACCGGGAGGTGTGCCAATGAAGAGCGCCGTGGGCTGTCGTGTCCAAAGTGAAACAGTCCCACCCTGCTAGACTGACAGGGAAGTATCTCTGGGGGTCTGACCCGCATGAGTGATAGAAACTCCCAGAGGAGATGCAGGGAACGGCCTCGTTACGGTTCAGATTAAGAACGGCCCCCGAAGACCCCATGAGCTCACAGCCTGTGCTTGGGGAAGGCGACTGAATCATGAAGGTGACAGAGCTGGCTTCTGGCTGGGAGGTGGGGTCTGCTGGGAAGAGGCGGCGCGTGTCCCTTCCTGGATCCTTGATTCTCTGCCTCCTATGTGCCAGGCCTTGAGCAGCTCTCCTCCGCCAGTCCCCTCTGCCGTGACTGCCTGCCTCAGAGCCAGCAGACCATGGGTTGCAACCTGTCCAGAATCGTGTCTCAGTGCTGAGAAGATCATTAAGTGAGATGCAACTCAACTCAATGAAGAATATCCACAGAAATCCTCAGCCAGCACTTGGTGGTGAAAGAGAACATTTCCCTGCCTAAGATCAGAAACGTGGGTGGCAAGATGCCTACGCTCAGGCTCATTCAACATAAGGATGGAAATTCTGGCCACCGCAGTGGGGCAGAAGAGAAAACTGTCATTGGAAAGGAGAAAATAACCCTGTCCACAACACAAGCCTCTTACTTGCTCGTCCACACAGACAATCCTAGGGAATCTAAGAAAAAAATCTCCTGGGACAGGTCAGCGTGCTCAGCAAGACTGCAGACCAACACTGTGGGTCCGTGGTGGGTGGCGCTGCGCACTTGAGACCCAGCCAGCTCCAACACCTGTCCGCTGGCCACCGAGCGCCACACAGCGCCCTCTGGGGGCACGGTAGACATCAACCGTAAGTCGGGGTCCTGTCGCAGCTCTGCGGTTAACTTCCTGAAGAGCTGACAGACCAATTACAATGGGTAATTTTGTCGTTTAATAGTAAGAATCCTTTCTATATTCAAATGCTAGACTTGCAGCATATGTGTAATTTGCAGGCATTTCCCCCATTCTGGGTGTCTTCCCTCCACTTTCTTGATAATGACCATGACGGAGTTCACTGTGATGGCGTCCGCTTGGCCTGGATGTCCTCTGTGGGGCAGACTTTGCAGTTTGTTTGTTTGTTTTGTTTTTTTCTGGTACCAGGAATTGAACTCACGACGTAGTGCTTGCCAGGCAGGCACTGTGCCGCTGAGCTAAATCCCCAGCCCCAGCTAAATCCCCAGACCCCGGACTTCACAGTTTGAAAAATCTCCCTCCCCTTCCTAGTCTGGAGAGTGTTTTTATTAGAAAAGGACTAATGTCAAGACTCTAATGCCAGACTCTGTCTAGTGTTTGTTTTCTGCTTATGTTGGGAGGCTCCTATGGTTTTAATTCTTATTCTGCGAATACTGTGTCTTACTCTGATCTCTAGTTGAACCAAACTTGCATTCCTGTGACCAACGCCATCAGTCTGATCCTTTTTCTACACTGCTGGATCCAAGTTTCTAGTGTTTAGCTGAGAGGCTTTGCCTTGTATGCACATGGGACATGGGTCTATGCTATTCTTTTTTTTTTTTTTTTTTGTACAGGGAATCAAACTCATGACCTCAGGTTCGCCAGGCAAGCGCTTATGCAGCTGAGCTATATCCCCAGCCCTGGTCTATGCTATTCTTGCAACATCTTTTTTCTGGTTCTGGTATCAGCTAACACTGGCCTCCCAGAATGCATTGGGAAGTCTCCCCTTGCTTTTTAATTACTTTTTTGTCATTTTGAAACAGGTTTGCTATGGAGTTCAGGCTGACCTCGAACTCACATTGATCTTCCTGCCTCAGTCTCACGAATGCTGGGGTTACAGGTGTGTGCTACCATGCCTGGCCAGCTTTCTAATTTCTGGAAACTTTGTGAAGGGTTGGTGTTTTGGTTACTTTTTTCTTGTTGCTGAGACAAAACACCCAAAGCCCAAAATGAAGGAAGGAAAGGTTTATTTAGCTTACAGTTTGTGGAGGTTTCAGTCCATACTTGGCTGGCTCTGAGGCAGCAGATAACAAAGCAACAAGATCAAAGGGGAGAAAGGCAGTCAAACAGCAAAGCAGCCAGAGCAAAAAGGGGAGGAATCGCTGCAAGCAGCCTCCTTCCCTCCCTTACACTGCAAACAGGCTACCCCCACCCAAGGGGCGTGCAGCTCTCACATAATCTCCATGCCCTCCTCTTCCACAGGCTCAGGATGTATACAAAGTAAGCACCCTGGCTTCCTGCTGAGTCACTTAGCCAAACCTCTAGACTCCCCAAGTTGACCCAATGTATCAGCCATAACAGTTGGTATTAATTCTTCCTTGAATATGTGATATAATTTCTCCATGAAGTCACCTGGCCCTGGCCCAGGAGAACAGTTCATGAGGTGTTTAAATGATTAATAATTCAAACTATTTACCCATTTTCGGTCCATTCAAGTTTTCTCTTTCTTCTTGAGTCTTTCTAAGATTCCTGGGAATTGATGTCTTTCTAGGAACTGGCCTTCCAGGTTGTTGACATGCAATTGCTCATCATATTCACTTGTGCTGTGATTTCTGCAGGTTGGAGTGGTGTCCTCCATTCATCCCTGATTCCTACCCTTTCTTTACCTGTTTCGTTGGCCTTTTCAAAGGACTAACTCTGGTTTTGTTGATTTTCTCTACCATTTGTCTACCTCGCTCTGATTGTTTTTTCTCCCCTCTGCTCATTTGCCTTCACTGTGCTCCTCTGCTGTTTCCTCCTGGGGGCCGGAATTCTCCACCACCAGGCTCGAGGTGAGTGCCGTGTCCGCTGCCCCTGCGCACCCTGGGTGCAGGGCGTTTATTCTGATTCACCACACGGAGCTTTCTGATTCCTTCCTGGTTTCTCCTTTGACCGTTGGCCACTGAGGAATGAGCTGCTTAATTTCTGCACACTGATGAACCCCCCAAACTTCTGTCCATCACTGATTTCTAATTTTATCCCTGGTTGGTCCGAGGACACGCTTGGCATGATTTCAAGCCTTTCAGATGCACTGAGATTTACTTTGCCCTGAAGCTCCTGGTCTGTGCTGGAGACATTCCCTGTGCCCCTGAGAAGGGCATGTGTCCTAGTGCATTGTTCTGTGGCCTTCTGTTTCCTTGGTAGTCTTCCTCCTCTTCCTCTGCTCCTCTTCCTCTGCCTCCTCCTCTTTCTCTTCTTCTCCTTCTCTTCCTTCTTCTGCTTTCGGTTTTTGAGACAGGGTCTTGATATGCAGTCCAGGCTCACCTTGAGTTCACTATGTAGCCCACACTGTCCTTGAACTTGTGGTGTTTCCCCTGCCTTAGCCTCCTGAATGGCTGGGATCATAGATGTGGGTCACCACACCCAGCACTCCTGGTTAGTCTTTGTCTAGTTATTCTATCCATTATTGGACTGAGAATGTTGAAGTTGCTAACTATTCTTGCCAAACTGTCTATTTCCCTCATCAATTTGGTCAGTGTTTGCTTTGTTTAGCTGAGGACTCTGTTGCTAGGTGCAAATGTTCATAATTACTATATTACTGCCTGTCTTGGTCTATTTTGTCTGACTTTAGTATAGCAGCGTGGGCTTTCTTCCATTTAATTTGCATGGTGTACATTCAATCCTTTATTTAAACCTATTGGTGTCTTTGATTCCTGAGTGTTTCTTGTAGGCAGCGCACAGTTGGATCGTGGTTTTATCCACTCTAACGGTCTCTGACCTTTGGTTACAGTCTTGTGACAGCAAAGTGGTCACCTTGTCATTTTCCTTCTGTGTGTTGCATATGCTCTGTTCCCCTTTCCCTCATTTAATGACTTCTCATGTGTTAAGTAAGTATTTTCTTTGTTATTGGTTGCTTATCTATTTTCTTAGCATTTGCCCTGTGAATTACAATTAAAACCTTAATCTACAACGATCTAGTTAGGCTAATACCAGCTACATTCACTAGCAAACAAAGCTCCTATATCACTCCACACGCTCCTGGCCTCTGTGCTGTTACTGTCACACAATGACATCCCTACACCTAAATAAGATAGGAGAAGATGGCTGAATCTGACATGCACTCCACCTGCCTTTCATGTCCCACGTCACCTTTCCCAGCACTCTACCCACCCCCACCCCTGCCCCCTGTGGGGTCTGGCTCTTCTCCGGCAGCCTTGCTCTTAGCCTGCACTGACTGTCGTGTTTCCCATAGGGCAGGTCTGCCAGAGAGGATTTTTCTTTGCATTGTTTTTCTGGGAATAGCTGTATTTCTTCTACCTTTTCTGGACAGGACTGGGCTGGTGGCGTCAACAAGTTTTATAGCAATGTGAAGAGCTAGTCTCACTTCCAGCTTTGGTGCCACCTGAGGAAGCCACGGCTGTCAATCTGGTTTGAGCCTGTTATGGTTGATACGTTGTGTCAACTTGGGGAGTCTAGAGGCTTGGCTAAGTGATTCAGCAGTTCTGCATCTTGGGGTATAAAGGACCTGCCCTTACCCTCCTGGGATGTTGTTCACTGTGTCAATTTGAGAAGTTTAGAAGGTTAACTATGTGACTCAGCAGGGAGCCAGGGTGCTCACTTTGTGTTCATCCTGAGCCTGTGTAAGAGGAGGGCACGGAGATTATGTGAGTGCTACACGCCCCCTGGGTCGGGGTAGCCTGCTCACAATTATAAGGGAGGGAAAGAGGCTTGCTCTTCTCTGCCACTCCTCCCTTTTGCTCTTGCTGCTTTGCTGTTTTTTGCTGCCATGAACTGCTGCCCCCTGCCATGTGCCTCTGCCTTGGAGCCAGCCAGGTATGGACTGAAACTTCCACCAACAGTGAGCTACATAAACTTTCCTTCCTTTATTTTGGGCGTTAGGTATTTTGTCTCAGCAACAAGAGAAAAATAACCAAGACGGAGCCCCTGTGAACAACACATGCTTCCTTTCTTCTGCTCTTGGGCTCTTTGCCTTGGCTCGTGCCAGTCTGGTGACAAGGACTGGGGTGTGGTCTCCTTAGTTTGCCCTGCCTGGCATTTGGTGGGCTTCCTCAACCCTGGGCTCCTTTTCTGCCTGCTTTGCCCTGTGGCGGAGGCTCTCTGGGGAGTTTTAATTCCAGCTGGTATGCCAGGTTTTCTGCCTGGGCTGTTTTGTGATACCTGCAACTGCATTGATGTTCTCTGTCTGGGAAGGTGCTGTTCCCAGTGTCCGTTAGTTCTTTGCGCATATTTAAAATAGCTGATTTGAACTCTTGGTCTAATAGGCCCAGATCTGGGCTCCACCAGGGATGGTTCCTGTGGAACAGGCCATAAAGTCTTGTTCCTCTGCATGCTTGTCATTGTTGCTGTTGAAATGGGCACTTTAAATCTCACCATGTGGCGGATTCTCCCTCCCTCCCAAGGGCTTGCTATAGTTTTGTTTTGCATCTGTTGCTCTTGTTACCGTGTTCATTTCATGACTGTTCCAGACTACTTGTATAAAGTCTGTGCTTCGTGACCTGTGGCCTCTGAAATGTCTGCTGCATGCTCAGCACTCAGCAAGCCGTGGACAAATCTCCATGTCACCAGTTCTGTGCGCACTGAGGGGTGCCGGGTCAGCCAGGCAGGTGGCAGCAAGCTCTGTCCGCCCTTCACTTCCTGCTGGCACAGAGCCTCCAGGTCAGTCAGAGGTGAAGGACAGAGCCTCGCCGGCCTTCTCTGAGCTTCAACCCTCGCTGCCCCTGGACGCGGCTTTGCGGGTCCCCCTGGGGAGATCTTCCCACTGTCCCACTTCCCTCAGAAGCTCCCTGCTCAGTCTGCGTTGCCCCTGGTGGTGGGGAAGTTAGACAGTGTCCCGCTCAGCTCCGTACAGACAGACTCGCCGTGGGGCCACCAGTCAGGTCAGATGCGGGTTTGCCGGGTGGAGTCCTCTGCGTCCCTTCGGGGCTCCCTGGAGGCTGCTTCCTCCTTCCGATGTAGACTGTCAATTGGACTTGGGCACATTAAAAGCCCCAAATCTCACCATCCGTCTGATCTTCAGCTTTGCCCCACAAGCCACAAAGCTTTGGTTAATTTCCACTGCTCTGGAACGTTGATCTTTGATCTTTTTCTACTGTTTTTCTTGTGGGTAGGGAGCAGAGAGCAGCTGGGAGAAGTCCTGCCTGTGTCTTTGTCCCTGTCGCTGAAGAGGACGTTTTGCATTTTTGACGCCTATGACTGGCTGCATGGAAGAGCAGGGGATCTCCGTCCTGGGAATAATCCCACCGCTGGACTGAAGCCCGTGTCCCCCGTCTGCAGGTTGAGCCCCCCAGCTCCTCTGTGCTGCGGTTTGAGATGGGCACGTGGGAGCTGACTAAATCAGGTGGGCAGATTCTCCTAGGCGTGGGGGTCCTTTGAGAACCGACAGGATGGGGTATGAAGGTGGCCAAGGAGAGAGCCTTGGCAGAGCCTGACCACGCTGGCTCCCTGATCTTGAGCTGTGAGAAATGGGTCATAAATCACAAGCAGACCCATCTGTCCAGAGGGGCCAGTTTCACCCAGCTCTCAGGGGAGATGTGAGAAGACGCATGTGGGCTTTGCCTCATGGCAAACATGGTCCCTGTGCCCTTGGGCATGGCGGTGGGGAGGGGCTGCCGGGTGTCCACATAGGGTTCCTCTGCCAAAGGGGTTACAGTGACACCAACAACCGGGTGGCTCCTGGCGTCACAGCGCTAAGGGAGCCGTAAGTCCCAGAAGATACCAGCGTGATATCCTCGTCCTAAAGTCATAAGCCTCTAAAATTTAAAAATAGTCTTTTTCAGAGCATGGGTAGATGAAATTAAATTATATTTAAAAATGCTAGTGTGATGCCACACACCTGTCATCCCAGCACTCTGGGAGGCTGAGGCAGGAAGATTGCAAGTTTAAGCCCCGCCTGGCCAATTTAGTGATTTAGCAAGACGCTGTCAGGGACAGAGTCCAGCTGTCCCAGGGAAGGCAGAGCAGGTGCCTGCTTCTTGCCGAGTCTTCCTGCTGTTTTCTGTGTGTTTGTTTTCTGTGTGTCTTTTCTGGTGAGATGTCAGTTGTGGAGTGGAGCTCCTGAACCCCCTCGAGCAGAGGTTGCGAAATAAACAGAAAGGGCCAGAGGTGAAGCTCTGTAGGAAGGGCCGGGGCTCCATCCCCATACTGCCAACACGATACAAATGTTGTAAAAAGAAAACGAGAGTAAGTTCAGCCAGGATCACACAACCGGGGTTCAGGGCAGCAGCGCTTGCCTCAGAGCCGGGGAGCGTGGCAGGGGAGGCTGTGGCTTTTGCTGCGTTAAAAATAAACCAGCAAACTGGTAACACGGTGGGCTTTGTAGAAAGCGATGGAAAGAGCTGTCATGAACCACAGGTGAGGAGCCCTGAGTTCCGTTAAACACATCTTCGAGAAAGGGATTCACACAAGGAAACAGCCGTGGCTCCAGCTTGGTGATCTGGAAGAGAGGTGCATTACCTGTGTGATTGGGCGCAGTTGTCCTTACCTTGGCTGAAACCAGTTTGAAAGCTGCAATTCTGTCACTTGGCTACTCCTGTGGACAAAGGGACACGGGGTTACTCCCGAGCTGAGCCCCACCCACAGCCCACCCAGCTCCTGTCCTCTGAAGCTTGTGGTGGACCAGGTCGGGTTGAGAGGGCCTGGGAAAGGAGCTGTGTGGTTCGGACTGCAGGGTTGGATTGAACTAGGAGGAGGTACAGAGGGAGGCCTTTACCAAAGGTAAGATGGGAGAAGTACGCTTGCTGCGGGAGGACTTCAAACTAATCAACATACCAGCACGCTGGGAGGCTGGGGCCACAGGATCACAGGGCGCTGCTGCCCTGAACCCCGGTTGTGTGATCCTGGCTGAACTTACTCTCGTTTTCTTTTTACAACATTTGTATCGTGTTGGCAGTATGGGGATGGAGCCCGGGCCCTTCCTACAGAGCTTCACCTCTGGCCCTTTCTGTTTAAAATTCTTTTTAAAAATGGGGCTGGTTATGTAGCTCAGTGTGAAGGCCCTGGGTTCAACCCTTAGAACTGAAAAAAAAATTTTCAATCAACAGATCAAATAAGAAGCTACGCGTTCAAATACAAAGTTGATTTATTTATCAAACAGGAGTAGCTCTGTGACCAGCTGACAAAGTGGCGAGGAAGGGGTCCAGGTGCCCACCCCGACTCACTTCGTTTAAATATCCTGTCTGGACCGGGCTGGGCGAGCAGCTGGCAGACCCTTGCAGGCTGGAAATTCTGCAAGCTGGAAATGCGTTCAGTGCCTACCGTCAGAGCCCAGCCCTGCCCACCGTGTCTGCTCCGAACTCCTTCGGCCACACGGGCAGAGTGACCGGATCCAGCCTATTTATGACACAGCGTGCGGGTCGTGATTGCAGAGGACCCAGGCTCTGCGCGACACACGGCTCTGTGTGACGCGTGACTGCACACCCTGCTTCTGTTTCTAGGTCCATCCTTGCTTCTAGAGTTGATAACTCACTCCTTAAACAGGAAAACAAAATGTTCAGCTTTGAATGTGAATAAAGGCCTATTGCAACAGAGGTATTTAAATTTCTAGAATTAAGGTTCACTTGCATTTTCATTTCAAACAATTGCCAAGCACGTGTTGCGCCCCGAACGAGGTGCAGCTATGGACAGAGATGAAGTCTCTGCTGTCACCACTGGCAACGACTGGTGGAGAGGGACAGCTCGCCAGCAACTTGTTTTTTTTTTTTTTTTTTTTTGTACCTGGAATTGAACTCAGGACCTTGTGCTTGCCAGGCAGGCGCTTGTTCTGCTGAGCTACACCCCCAGCCCTTTGTCAGCAACTTGTATTCAAATTTGAGAGTTTAGATTTTAGCTGTCCTGGTGGGTGTGCCATGGGATTGCACTGTTTTAACAGTGACAAATGTTAGGGAACGTCTTGCCCCATGCTTATTATCTGTGCATCTCCTCTGGTGAGCTATGGCTTGGCTGCTTTCCCCCATGTTTACTTTGCTTTCAGTTTAGTTCAGTTTTCTTTTGAGGTAGAGTCTTGCTATGTAACCCAGGTTGACACTGCACTCACATCAACCATCCTGCCTCAGCCTTCTGAGTGCTGGGATTACAGGCATGCACGACCGTGCCTGGCTCTCGCCTGTTTTAAGTGGGTTTGTTTTTTTTTTTTTTTTTAAATTTTTATTTTAAAGAAAAAGAAACAAAAAACAAGAAACAAATAAGCAAATAAAAAACCAAAATTCCAAAACAATATGATAGCACGGTAACAATGGTTAATATATTGGGTGTTGTTATCTTTAAATTAATTACTCAGAGTACAAAATATCAGCATTGAATTGACCAGACAGAATTAGCACAGAACTATCTTTTCAGTGAACTGAGAGAAATTAGTGGTATAACTATCTCAACTATCTTTTATATTTTTTTCCTTTTGCTTTTCCCTTCCTCCTTTTCTCCATTCCCCAACCCAGTTTCTCTTTCCTTCTGAAGTTTCCTCTTATTTTACAATGTCTATTGTACATTTTGGATCTTACTTACTCTTTCATCTTCTCACATTAGCGAGACAATACGATGTTCACGCATGTGCATCTGATTTATTTCACTTAGGACTATGGTCTCAAGTTGCATCCACTTATCTATAAAAGTCTCCAGTTTATCCTTCTTTATGGCTGAATATCACTCCATTGTATAAAAAAAAACCACATCCTTTTTATCCATTCCTCAGTTGATGGGCATTTGGGCTGTTTCTAAGATCTAGCTATTACAAATTATGCTGCTATAAACATGGGTGCACATATATCACTGTGGTATGATGT